TGGTTTTAGGCTTTTCGTGTATGCAGTCAACTTAGAAATAGGTATTTGACACCTCAGTAAAACCAAACACATAGATTCTCTGGTGTTTTCATGCTGTCTGTTGAAGAATATCTAACTTTGCATCACATATTGCATTTTACTTAGTATTCACCATTCACCTTTGATAACTTTGTGACTGTGTGTTTTTGTTTTTTTTTGCTACTGCTTTCAAATTAAAGCACTTGCACAAATCGAGGAGTAAATACACACTGGAGGGAACTGCTTGACCTTGTGGCTTCCTACGCTTTCCCAAAAACCCTTCTGCTTAAAACAAATGGAAATCAAAGTTCTCCTGACATCTTAGAGTCACAATTGTTGGTCTGATTTTCACATTTGCATTCTTACGCTGTGGCTTGGGATTTGCTCACAGTTAAGCAGCCATTAAGGCCCAGCAGACTGGGCGCTTCTTACTAAAACGCAGTCGTGGCACGAGTAACAATTAACACCCAGCTTACATGTTCTTCCAACAGCCCCTTGCATGCCAACAACCCGGCTTGTTTGGTACGAAGATGCCACCCATCCAGCTGCACAGGAGACTGCGGAGGGCACCAGTGGAGAGTGGGCCACAGGGCTGTCCCTCAAAGAGGAAGAGCTAGATGCATCCAATAAAATTTGGTAACATGCCCTGAATGAGAGACTGGTGGGCAAGCAGGGTGATTAACAGCACAGACACATACAGTGCATTACACGGTTCAGCAAGTACAAAGAGCCCAGAAGAACACAGACAAGGAAAAAAAAAAAAAGCTCCACTCAGAAGAATCTGGGAAAAAATATAAAGCTTTGCAGGTTTAAGACAACCCATGGCTACATCATTTACACACATGCCAGCAACAGGCTCCATACACCTGCCTGAACAGCCCCATACATCTACCAAGCACATTTCTTAGAATTTATTTCCTAAAGCACTTTCATATCAAGTACTTTTATAAATTGTGAGGGGACAGCCCTTTCTACGAACAAGACAAGAAGTTGAAGTTCAAGATGAAAAGTCAGAGACTACTGGAATTATAAAGGCAAGAGAAGAGTAACTCTTTGGCAATAGCAGTTACAGGCTCTAAAATCTTTTGAGACATGTTACTGCGAAACCAGTGTTGGACCTGAACTAAACTATAAAAAAGCCACAATATTATCTGGCAATGCTATCTTTCTACGAGTGAGGTTGCATCTATAGGACACGTGAGGTATTTTATTCACACCAAGTTCACAGGTCTGGTGAAGTAAGCTCTCCGAGGGGCCCCGACCAGCTAAATGGAGTTCAGAGTAAACTGTCCCTCAAGGCACAGGAAGTTCAAGGCCAACCCTATGCTCAAGTCCAATCCCAGCATCCCACTCATACACCCCTCTGACACAGGGCCAAAAAGTCACAGACAGACCAATGAAACACGCAATATAGGATGGAGTTGCCCATTTCACCAAAAGGTTACAAAAGTTTACAAATTTAAATCCCATGAGGAAGCCAGTGTTGCATACCTGCAAAATATATCTTGAACACTTCACTGCATACAGACACAGGAGTGTAGGTAAGTTTGAGGACGGGAGACATGTAATTGTCTTTGAGCAGAAATCGGGTAAATACTACAAAAATAAAGTCCTTCATGTCACTAACAGCAACACCAATCTGGCAGACAGGAATGTTTCCAAACCCAGGCCCGGCAAGAAAAAGCAGGAATCACCTCATGAATCAGAGCCACTTCTCCTATACTCCTACAACACATTTAGCAATTTAGGCAGGACCAAGATTAATTTTTATCAGCAACATTTTAGATTAGTTAAGAATTACTTTCAAACATACAGTACCTCAAAATACCAAATGTTTATTAATTAGTGAAAATGGGTCCTTGGAGAAAATAAATATAAAAGACTTGAACAAGTCATCAAATTGAGAAGTCTGGGCAAAACCAAGAGTTTCCCTGACATACGTATGTGTGCGTGCATACATGTTTTGTCTAAACCAATTTCCTAGTGAATAAAGGCTCCAACACAATGGCTTTAGTGAGTGTCTGTCTCTGAGTGAGGTGCACATGGCTGGATTGCATTCACACAAGGGAGCTACTCCAGGACATTCACAGCTGGGCACTTTCTGCCATTACAATGGACACACCCACAATCTCCACAACTGGCTAGTGGCAAAGTTACATCTAATCAGCTTACTGTTCCCTGCACATCGACCAGGATGAGACTTTCCACTGGCCAGTGAGTAATGACAGTGGGAATATCACCTGAGGTGATGTGCTTGTGACATCTGTCAATCATCCAACTGGAATCACATCAGGAAAAACTAAGGGCTTTCACCATAAAACCTGAACGCATGACAAAAAACCCTACAGAACACAAGCCTGCCTGCCTGATGTAACTTCAGTGCTGGGTGTGCACAGTTCTAAACCCCCAATCCTAAAGAAAGGGGCACATTCAGCTCAAGGCTCTGTTACACAACGCTAAATGGTCAGCGAGAACTTCAGCAAAGCGTGGCCTTGCCCCTATCTGGATGCCAGACAATCCCTCAGAACAGCTGCCACACAGAATATGGGTTAGGGCTCCACCGAAGGACTCTAATTATGCGTGTAAAAATAAAATCCACTCACCCTAATCACAGATAGGGCCCCAACAAGTAAATAGAACATATCGTATATCAATGACATGGGGAAAGAACAGTATACCATGACATACAAAACCAAATACTGAAATGTTATATACTGTACATTACACTGCTAAAATAACATTGTTTCTGGGAGGTCTCTATGGGATATTTCTTCTGTTGTGTGTTATATTTACACATAAATTTACATATTTAGCATATGCTTTTGTTCAAAGCGAGACAAACACCTAGTAAGAAAATTCAATATCTTTTGCTCATATGCTTTTAAATTTAAGTTATAGGAGACACGAACAAGACCAAGCTTACTGCTAGTCCAGCTGTCATTAGGAAACACATCTGGCGTCAGACTGCCTTTAATGACTCGTGAAATGAGCAGCAATTAAACGTCAATGCCGAACAAGTAACAAGCCAGTTAACCTGAACTCGCGTGTACTATTAACTAGTGCCATTCAGTATTGCTGGGTTATTGTAGAGTGTTTAGTTGAAAGCAAAGTTTCAGCCTTTTAAGACTCACTATAATATTCCCCCTGATGCTAGATAACGGATCTACTTCTTTGCTCCGTCTTGGTGTGATAACATTGGTAGGACCGCGGTTTAGAGATCAGGCCAGGGTTAGCAAACAGAGGTAAGGCTGTTAAAACTCCATTCGGTGCACTGACATCGAAAATTACGTTACGTTAAGGTTTTACCGCCAGGTGTTTGTACCTGCATCGACTGGCTTATGTATGAGGGAAGCAGATACTGCTATCATCGGTTTTATACGTCTGTCACGGCTCCCCCTCCAAGTCTGGTTACCAGACGTAAGCCAGCACAACAAAGACGAGTCCGGGGACGCTACGCGTCCAACGGAGGTTCGACTCTGCCGTGGAAGACCGATAGCGGTGCTAGGACCGCCGGTTGTATCCACACAGCAGGAAACCGTCAGGCGTAAGATCGCCGAGGAAAGGAGCCCGCGTGTTAAAAGCTCCGCAAAGTACCCTAACACTGACTAATAACGTCAACTGGCCATACGGGTAGTCCAGCTAGCTCTCGCCAGAGCGCCGTCAGCTAATCGGCTAATTGCTAGCCCTCCCGATGTATCCCCCTCTAGCTGCACGTCAGTCCGGGTTAGCCAGCTTGCTAAATGCACCTAAGAACATAACGGAAAAGAGGGAAAGGGACGGTCCTTAGTGTCTCTTCCACCCCACGAAACACACAATGTGCCCGACCGAGAGCCCGTCATCTCTGCTGCACCACCGACGTCGGGCTGCTTGGCCTTCTTCGCGATAAAAGGTGGCTCGTCGCCCCAACTAGCCAGCTAGCACCAAACCGGTCGCCTGGCAGTCTGAGGTGATTCAAAAATGCGACCGTTCTTACCTTCTATAAAGTGCTTTTCAGTTAAAGAGTAACTCCGCTGCTTTGTGCAAAAACGTATTCACGAGGCGAGACAAACTTGGACCGCAACTGAGAATTTCCAACAGTTAAAACAATAATAATAAAATAAACGTGCATCCACCTCAATATTTTTCACCCTTATTATTTCAGTAGCTAGCTAAGCTCCTTTCCTTTTTTTAACAACTAAAAACTCGACGTCTGGCAAAGGCGCCCGGCCCCGTGTCCATCTGATTGGAGGGAATCAAGATAACGGCGTTGTGAGGTGGCTTTTCTAATAGGCCGGCTAACCTGTCAAACTCATGGCGTATTGTCCCACCCCCTCTGTCATTTACAATTGGAGTAAATTGGAGCCGCCCATAAAAGTAGTAATTTAATTTGTGGTGCTTTGACAATCAAATACAATGTTACCAAGAACGAACAAAATGATTGGCTCATTGCTGAAAAAGGTGCAGTTTCACACACAGGATAGGACGACCAAAACGTACATCTCAGCATCTTGAGTACATTTTTGGAAAGTAGCAAATGTCATGTTTGGACAGGACCAAATCCTCTTAACACTGAAAAAGAAATGCCAACTATTCCACATTTATATAGTAATATTTTTGTGTTTGAACTTGAAGATAAAACGTTTATTAATGTCAATACCTGTAACTTTTTGTCTATTATTGTTAATATGATTTTTATACGGTTTGTAAGGTAAAAGATTGTAATAATTTAAATTACAATTATCTATTTAATGTGTAACTGTATGGATAGATGTGCCTTTTTAGTTATATGTCATTTTCTGTCTCTGTCATTTCTTAGTTTTCTATTTGGTTTGCTTTCAAACGTATATGACAATCCACAAGATCGTTTTGATGTAAACAGCACTCCACGCTATTACCCACCTTTAGAAAGCTCAGTTATGTCTCCAAAAACTTGTGTTGAAAAAATGTCCACCGTTCTAGGATCAGTATAAACATTATAATTCCCTATAGCTGTTTCGAGAATGTACTTCCGGGTTAAAAGTGCACTTCCTGCTCTCTGGAAAGGTTATTGGGATGTCGATGTGTTCTTAGTGAAGAAGTGTGTTTCATTACCCGAAACATGTCTCAGGATTCTTCGGGGTTTGCACCTTCCGAGCAACCACACGGGGTTTCTCCTCAGGCTGTAAGAAGATTTCTGTTTTGCATATTATGCCAGTTCTTTTTGTTTCCTCTTGTGTTTTTACACGACCAGTGTGCTGGTTAGACACGAGCTCAGTATTAATATTTAAATTGACAGCTGACTAGACAGTTCAGATATCTGGATGCATGAGAATATTAAGATGTCAACTAGCACGCTGTATTCAAAAATACAGCATCGTCAAATTTCGGATCCCTTAAGTTACCCTTAAGTTTCAGTATCTACCCTGCTTGCAAAAATGTGTAATTTAGCTGCCTTGCTATCTTATAAGTAATAAATGCAAGTAAGCCAGGCATACTTGTTTGTCTTTTTGGCTAGATGAAAAGGAGGCGCGTACTCCACTAACATGAATTATCGGAGATTCCTGCATCCTCTGTTGTTTCGTGCAATGCTTTTTATCTACTGGGGAACCCAAATATAAAATCTATCGTGGGAGATGTAGATAATCGGGGAAAATACATAGCATGGGGAACAAATAGTTTTAGCAGCACGCTTTTTCCAATTATAATCTATTTTTTAAACTATGCATTGAATGATTTTAGTGTGTTATATTATTATATTATATGGACAGTCAACTTGCAAGGACACACACCAGTTTTGCTTTTTGTCCAGAATCCAATAGGTCCAGCTTACGTTCTCACAGAAGATGAGAAAAGGATTCTGAAGGAGTGCAACCAGGAGAGCTTCCGCTACAGATGTATGTAAAAGCAGATTGAGCACTGCTCTAAAATGGTCGGTCCTACACTTTTGGGACCAGGGTGTAAGTTAGCATGTTAAAGTTGCAGGTGCATAAATCCGAAGCTGCTGCGTTTACCACGCATGTCCCATTGGGTGCATTGTGACCATCTCACGGCTTGCTGGTTTCCCCTTCCAGCTGGACCTATTGCGGTGCTCAGCATGGCCGCCACACACATGCTCATCGCCAGGGGTAAGCCCACACATCTTGCCACGGCGTGTCGGCAAGGCGTACCATGCCTCATTCTACACTCTTTCCTCTCCTGATGCTTCCTAGGCTTCCTCACTGCTTCCCCGAGGTTCGGCTCCCTGCCCAAGATGGCGTGTGAGTACTATAACAGCCTGGGGCATCTGATCTGATTTGAACCCTTCCATTCAAGAGACCAAAAATTCATCCCAGTTTTTCTGTTACTTTAAGAATGTTCATAGGGTATTTATCCATCCATCCAGGCATTCAACCATCTTCTTGCTGCTTTTCCTGGTCTGGGTCACAGGAAAGGCATGGAGCATATCCCAGGCTGTATAGGGCACAAGGCTGCAGTTATACCCTAGACAGGATGCTAGTTCACCACAGGGCACACACAATCACACACTATGGACAATTTATAGATGCCAGTTAGAATAGCTACATATCTTTGGACCGTGGGAAAAAACCAATGTACCCAGAGGAAACACTGTGCCACCCTTATATGATATTCAACTATCGTTAAGAAGAGTACATTTTTGATGTATTACGAAAATACTCTTCTAGTACAGAGGTCACTAACAAACGGACCGCGGTCCGAGTCCGGACCCAGAAGCTGCCCCATACGCCCGAGATATCCAGAACAGAAAGTTATGATTTAAAACCTGACAGGGCGCTTCTATTTTAAGCGGCGTAGCTTTTGTAGTCTTTTCGGTAGTGGTTTAGCTCTAGATCCACCGTTTCCCACACCAATGAACGTCAAACGCCTTTAACCGCCAAGCAAGACGTAATTAGGCGTATGCAGCCCTTTGTCTGCGCTAATGTGTCATTCGTGTTAATATCAGCAGCGAAGCTAACACCCGCAACCAAAAAGCCGTAATGTTCGTAACAGAGTGGCTGACTGTCCTGAAATTGTAAAGCTGAAGTTTTCAAACACAGTATGTTTTATATAACATGTTGAATATATAGACGTAGTTTATTGGTGATTGCATGTTCGTTGAAGTTTCCGCTTTTTAACAACTGTATAAAGTAATGTTATTTGTTATATAAATCAACTCAGGTTAAACAAAAATGTACGTTTTCAGGGTTGCCAAATCTTAAGCATCTGGCATATGACACTCACGCTTTCAGACTCATGCAGGACATCTTAAGGCAGATCTATATTATTCCATTATAAACCTAAAATTAGCTACATCAAAAGTGTATTTACACGGTTAAATATAAAGCAGACTATTTACAAGGTAAGAACTGTTACATATGTGTGCAGACAACTCGAACTGAAAATCTCACTCCAGCCAGTTGGCCGAAGTTCTATGTCACGTGACAATAAACTGAATTAATTTGATTTGACAGTCAGGTATTGATTACATGCAGTGTCGATACAACAAATAGGCTACTTAAATATATATCACATTAAATAATTAGACATTATGATCTTCTGGACTTTTGCTTCAAGAAATTTTCTCTAACTGGACGTCTTTAAATTTTAGTTGAATACCCCTGCTTTAGTAGATTTAAAGTGAATAAAATGAAAAATTGAAGTGCATTATACATACAGTGGTACCTCAGAACTCGAATTTAATCCGTTCAGAACTCCGGATCGAATACTAAAAAGTTCGAGTTCTGATTGAATTTTCCCCGTAATAAATAATGGAAAACCAATTAATTGCTTCCCGGCCCCAAAAAATTACACCTAAATATGTTTTTTTTTTAGCATTTAAACACAAAATGAACCGGATAAAAGAAGAGCATATACTGTACTAAACACATATAAGCACATTTATCAAAACAGTAATTTTTAAAGTAAGAAAATAAATGTATCCAAACAATGTGTCCTGCCCCAATCGTACGCTCCTTCCGTGTGCCACGCCCCCTCCTTAATCCCGTGTGGAATCCCCGTGTGATCAGTTATTTCTGGTTGTCATTAGTCCTCTGTATTTAGTCCGTGTTTCAATTTGTTTCCCCAGTCTGGTCATTGTATTGTCCGTCTGCGTTTTGCCTGCCTTACCTGTAATTAAACCCTGTATTCCCCGATACCCTGACATCTGCGCCTTTGTCTCCGTTCCATCCCCACTGGGCACGACAATATTATTATAATTAAACGTATTAATGGTTTATTATTAATATTAAAATAATTAATTTGAAATCTTTATTTTAAAATGTGTTTTATTATACAATAATAATTACTGTTACTGTCTATCATTGTCTAAATGTATTTTTACTGTCTAAATATATGTATTCAGCTAGTGTAAACATGCAGGATGCTATCACAGCGAATGCCAGGCTGGGACTGAAGCTTTACCCTTTGTTTCTGCTGAGAGACGTGCCGCGTGACTCATTTCCCTGCGCGTACAAGTTCTTAGGTCGGCGTTCACGGTTCGACTTCTGAGATTCAGATCGAGTTATACAGTAGGTAATTTTTTTTCGAACTGGTTGGTTCGACTTTTAAGAAATTCGAGTTCTAATGAGTTTGAGAACTGGGGTACCACTGTATTTCATATAACACTGCAAGGTTAGCTGGGACATAGTTATCTAATAAGGTCACGAAAACCACCGTCTGTACAGCTCTGCACAGGCGTAACCACTGTGAGAGCAACTGGATGGAGTCAGTTTCTGAAAAAAGCTCATGAGGAGTTTTCACACTGCATTCTGTTTTCTGATTTTATCAAACGGATCACAGTAACCTGAATTGAATACACAATTCCTCATGCAAAACTAAAACAGCTCATCACAACTGTAGCCCCATATCTGCCATGAAACATGGTCATGATTGAATAAGACTGCGGAGGTGCTTTTTAAGCAGGAAACTGGGATGACAATTCGCCCACCAGCAGTAAACTTGTATACCTGCAGTCGCCGGCATCTGTGGTTTCATGGCGGGAAAGATCTCCTACATGAAGACGTGCCAGGAGAAGCTGAAAAACTTGGAGAATTCCCCTCTCGGAGAAGCCCTCCGTCAGCGGCAACACGGCCAGTCAGTACCACCCACCTACACCCCTTCTGTCATCACTTGGTACTGCACGCAGCAAAACTCAGAAATCACACCACCTTTTTTTTTTTTGCTCTAAAAACCCGGCACATAGGACTGGCCCGCTATCTACCCCGACCACTTTGTTTACATTGTTTACCATGTTTACATTGGAATACATATTGCACCTTTCCATGTATTTATTGTATAACTGCATTTACACCTTAAATTATACTTGTACTTCTGATGTGTGTTTTGTGGAAATATGTGTTGAGCAGAAGGACACACAGAGTAAGAGTTTCATTGCATAGTAGAACTGACTGTTTACTCTGCACATGACAAAACTCCTGAGTCTCCAACATTATCGGTCGTGTACATATTTGAATTCCGGGGATGCACAGATTGATTCTTTTTCTTGAACCTGACTTGCTGGTACCAATCCGGGCTGATTTCTGATTTTCTTAATTTAATAATAATGAGATTTTTTTTTATGTTTCATAAATGAACTTCACTTTCTGAGAGCAAAATATTTAAAATAACCTTTTCAAATAAAAACAGCTCTGCATGTGTCAAATTAAATTGGTCATTCCAAATGTTTTTGGGATAGTTCTCCATGGAGATTTAAGATGTCCATCCCACACTATAAAGAATCTCTAGACAACAAGCATGTTACCCGTAAGTGTTTTACCTCACCTATCATGGAATGTTAGTGGGTGAAGGGAAAGTGAGGGGCGGAGGACACAACTGTGGATGGAAACTGAGTCGGGACAGAAAGTAACATGGTAGGTGGTAAACTACTAGACGGCTCATAAAATCGCCCATATTGCCCATTTCAGCTCACTAGCCAGTGGATCGGTGTGTAGTTAGTGAATTGCTGCTATGATAGGAGTGTGGGTGGATCTGATGGTTGTGCTCATACTGTGGTCTTTGGGCTAGGTTTGCAAGTCGGAATCAGTCAGAGCCAGGGCCCCCTGACCAGCCTGCCTTTGAGCCGGTCTTCCAGCCTTCAGTGGACCTCCCTGGGACGCCAGAATCCTTCCAAAGCAGCTCTTCCTACAGCGAAATACCCACCTATGACACATACCAGCCTGCCCCCTTCAGCTCTACCCTCAGCGAGTCAGCCCCCACTGGCGTGAGCGACCATATCAGTGCACAAGGTAGAGCCCATGAATGTTTGCTGCTCAGCCAAGACGCTGACCAAGGTGATGCAGGAGTGAATTTGTCTTGCATTAGCAGAATACTATTTCTAGAATAAAAATGTTGGTGTAAATTGCAGGCCGTTCCGCACACGCAGTTACTCAGCTTTTGTTGTACGTTTCATTCCAAATCTGATAACGTTTGAGTTGCAGAACTGTCTGCTGATCTGAAGCAAATGGGTTTAATGTTGATGAATGACTTTTGTTAATTGCATTTAAATCTGAAATTAAAATGTCTGAGTTGGCAAACTTAATCTTAATCAGTTCCTGGAGAGCTGTTTGTCGTCCATCTGGGAAAAAGCTCAGGTAGGGGGTCACTTAAAGCCCGTGACCCACACTTCCTTCTAAAATTGTTAGGTGACAGATGGCTTCAGGAGAAGCAGCCAGTCACTCTGTAGATTTTTACTTCACATCTGGCCTCCCCTTGTGGATGGATTAGGAGGTGAAGTAAAATTTAATCTTGAGAGGTCATTAGAGTAGCAGGACAAATGCTTGACACTCATTGAATCCATGAAAAGCCAGGAGCTGCTGTTAGGTCTGTTAATTGATCACATCCTTCTGACAACCTGCCCCCCCCCCCAACTCCTCACATCCAGCCACAAACCTGCCTAACGAGGAGGAAGAACCCAAGAGGAGAAGGATCCGATATGAGGAGCTGCGTAGCCGAAACCGGGAGAACTATGAGGTCATCATGAACCAGAAAGCTGAGGCAGCCATCAAGCCCACCGCTGAGAAGGTGCCCCCCAAGAAGGAGGGTAAGTCCATGTGCCAACTGAAGGTGGCTGGTCTGACAATATTCATTCCCTCAAAAAGGCATAGGAGACCTCTGCTTACCAGAAAGAAGGTACAGCTGCATAACTAGATGCAGAACTGACAGAACTCATGAATTACACAATAATGTTAAGCAAACCTTGTCATTATATAGTCTAATTTTAGCTGCAGTATTCTAACATAGCTATAGGCCAGAGATCGTGCAGTTTGTAGTCCTGGAAAGTGGGGCATTGCAGTGGTTTTTTTCCTGGTTCCTGATCACATCTGGATCACAGCTGATTTGGCAAGACTGAAAATGAAGCTATCAGAATAAGGAGTTGGCAGTGGAGCACTCTGCATGCTAATGCATAGCAATCTGTACACGTGGTTTCTAAGGGAGCTCATTTATAAAAATGTTCATACATTCTTGCAGAAGAATGTACATATCAGAGCATGTGAGTGGAGCGTGAGCGAGGAGCGGAGCGGGCGGAATTTGGTCAGAGCGCGGAGCGGCTTTTTAATTAAGGCTGGAGAGGTCGCTTTGTCTCGCTCCAATTTCGCTCCGATACCGCTCACACTACGATTCTGAGGCGTGCCCAAATCTACCCAGAATTCATCTGTACAATTATCAAGATCTGTTACACAAATTGGAACGAGATAGAATTTGCAAAATATTTCACAAAGGAAACTGATAAATCATACAAGTGTACTATTCTTATCAAACATATAGATGACAATAATGTACAGCAAGAACAACAATGTGGTGAAACTGTTTCAGTGAGTAAAGATTCACTTTGGAATCACTTTTCTCAGAAACATGAGTGTGCTACGCGAACAGGCGGAAGCCAGAGCAAAACGCGAGCAAGTTTTATAATATGGTTGTAGCATATCAAGTCTATAAAGTAAATTAAAGTATAAAAGCCCTATAAATTAAATATTGGTAATCAAATAAATTTGTTTTGTCATTCAAAGTAGGTCTAATAGGATTTTTTTAAATTTCACGTAACGCTGTCAGTGAAATTTTATTTTACAGAGAGACGCAGCAGCAGCATCAACAGAAAAAAATTGAGGAATTTAAAACATGCCTGTATATTCTTTAGGCTATTAAGCCCACTGATTCCTTTATTTTTAAGCCTATTTTTGTGTGGAATGCCATTGCTAAACCTGTCCGTTGTTGCTTATATGTTGCCTAAAAATATTTTCTGTTCTGACTGGCAATGTTCCCGTTGCTCATATTTCTTTATGATATAAGGCTTCGGTTTAAGGTGACATTTGTTAGGCATGCAGATTATTTGTCTCTCTTTTAAATTGGAGCGAGCGGGGAGCAATTTGACTGGAGCAGGAGGAAATTTTAGTGGAGCGAGGAGCGGTGTTGAGTGGAGCGGCTTAGTGCGAATTATGTCACTCACTTACACGGGTATATTTTAAAACTTACCTTTTTCTATACGTCTTGGGCTTTTGTCCACACGTAAACCGTGTCTCAGGTCACTGAAAACGGAGCTTTTGCAAAACTCCATCCAAGGTGAAAATTTTAAGAAACTCCGTTTTCAGTGTCAACATGTAGACAGGGAAAACAGAGTTTGTCCACTTTGTTTAACGTCAGAGCGTACACTGTTTGCTGTAGGCCTATACATTAGGCGATTTTGAGCAATGGCGGACTTAGCCGAAATAGTGCTTGTGCTAACCTTGCCGACAGGACTTCTTACATGTGTACAGATAAATGTTGAGGCACTCTTGCATTATATTGATCAACACAGGCGTCGGAATGTGCACCATGGTTTTCAACTTAACAGGACTGGCATTTGGGCTTCTGATTGGCTAACATGGCAGTACAGTTAGAGTTATAATGCCGCCTGTTGTTTTGGCGTGCTTTTGCAAGCGCATTTTAGCGGTTTCATGTAGACGGAAATTATTTAGAAGACAATGGGCCTCATTCACCAACCGTTCTTACGAACAAATTTGTTCTTAAACCCCACGTACGCACTTTTTTACGAAGATTCTGACATTCACCAATGTTTTCTTATCTGAATTTGTAATTGGCTAAGAACAGAATCTACGCACACTCAAGACTATTCGTCATACCTGTTAAGTTTTGGATTTGAAAATAAGGGAAATTTTCCGGCACACGCTGCGAGCCATCCCACCACCCCAACCACGCTCCAGTATCCCTTACATTTTAAGACAGGTGTACAAGAAATCTAAAATAACCACTTGTCATTTGCATTTTATTTTCATTACACATTTTCTTTTAATTTCTCATGTTCACTCATGTGGCTCCCTGGCATTCACTAATGACTTATTATACAGATTTGTTGCAGACTTTGTATCCTTGTTGAAGTCGTCACAGAAGGTGAAAGTAACGTTGTTTTTGGCACACAGCATTGCCATTTTAACCTCCGCATTTATGATCTGGTTAATGTTGTAAATTACTTGCAGACTACTGCAGGTGGCAGTTCTCGCGAGGCTACTGACAGTTCAGTTTGGAGAGGCAGAGGAATTTTTTTTAAGTGATATTATAATACGGGAGATTTACGGAAAAATACTAATACGGGAGGACGGCGGGAAAGAGGGGTAAAATACGGTAGTTTCCCGGCCAAAACGGGAGACTTGACAGCTATATGCTATTCGTATGCACATTTGAGTAATGATAGTTTGTTCAAAATAATCGGTTATCGCAGTTGTTTGTTCATTCTACAGTTCATAAAATGATAGTATTTGAATAATTTATAAAAGTAAAACATAAAAAATAATTTTAAAGTGTAAAAATTATTTTCATGGTAGTAACGGCGATCGTGCGGATTATAAATAGGTCTGTTTCTGCGCATTAGGCTTGCTATCAAAATGGCATTTATGTTACTTCTTGAAGAGCTTGCCAGTCGTGCTCTGAGAAGGAAACGCATGTTTGAAGATCATTTAGATTTATTTGGCACACAGCGTTCACAGAGAATTATAGTGATACCTTTCCATGTATCAGCTTTCTTGGGGGCTTTATATCCACTGGTTACGCTAAATAACGTGTATATTTGCATTTACACCCTGTACAGTAAAATCTAGTTATAACGGACTTCAAGGGACCTGGTAAAACAGTACGTTATATCCAAAGTCCGTTATATCCAGAGTTGCTGTATGCCCAGAATACAACTGCAGGACACCATTTACTCATGCCACTTTGGGGGTTAGGGTTTTAGAGGTTTTTTGGGGGTTAGGGTTAGAGTTTTACGGGTTTTGGGGGGCTATTGATTAGCACTACGGTAGCTTTACTCTACAAAGTAGCTCAACTCGTTTCAGATCAGCGACCAATCGGTCATTTAGAGACAGGCATGCATTCTACAGCAGGGATGCCTTTTTCGGCATAACAGCCCTACAGTCTCATGTCCTTTTATGGGAAATTGCAGGGCGTTTCCCTATGCTAATTAGGACAAACTGGCACCCGCTTTCAGTTACGAAGACGTGAGATTCACCATTCTTAAGAACAAAGGTGCGAACAATTCTGCTACTTAAGAACACGTCATGAATCCGACATAAGTTGTTCTTAACGAATTTCGTAGGAACAAGTTTAAGAGAATTCTTAAGAAAATATTGGTGAATGAGGCCCAATGTTCGTGTGGACGGGGATTTTTTTTAAACGGAGGAAAAACACCGTTTTAAAATATTCCCGTGTATGTGTGGACAAAGAATTAGAGCGGAGGAGCGGGCGGAGCCAACAGCCTCGTAAGCAAGGAGCGAAAATTCTCACCGCTCCACTCCACTCACATACTCTGGTACATATATATGAAAACCCAAATGTTCGTACAAACCATAAAAGATATTTATAAAACGTTGCGTAAACCAAGGTATGCATCTCACTGGTTTATAAATTATCGTAGAAGCATATGCAGGTGCGCACGCTTATCCCCATTCCCACTCAGAAATTACCATAAATTGGCAATGCATATTAACCATGTGCATATACTGTGCTTGTAATGAATGACATTTCAGAGATAACAGCCAAAAACAAAGGAATTCTTCAGAATGTGAAGTGAAGACTTGTGTCCGAGGTGGAATGCCAAACCATTTTATTTGGTAGTACATCAGCTGGAGTCACAAACAAAAAAAAAATGTGACAGCTGCTGTTAATGTGGTCAGCTCAACAAGCCAGACAATGATGGGAAAAAAAAATGGGCAGCTTCTCAACGTGGTTGGTGAAGTAGTGTTAATAGCCAGCGCTTAAGGGGGACTGCTGTCTCTTGTGTGAAGTACATGTACGTATAAATCAAAGGAAAACGTGCGTATAAAAAACCCTGGCATACATCTCACATTATATACTGTATATGCATGGATCCAGGTCAATGTGCAACATTTGTTAAAACCATGCTGGCATCTCAGATGAGTTGCGCGTTGATGGAATGAAACTAGTCTCTGTTAATTGTATGATGGTGCTCTTATTGCAATGTACATGTAGTCAATAGCACCGACAACACTATGAAACCCACAGAATGCATTGTAATGGTTGACTGTAGGTCGAAACTAGGGAAACTTAATATACTGTCTTGACAGTCAGTTAATACCAGCCACAGCTTGAGAAATGATGGAACTCAGTTTGGGCTAGGATATCCTTCATCAGTCAGTTAGTACCCACTGCTAAGTTCCTGTCGCCAAAAATCCAAGTGTTGTCGGTAGGCCTACTTAACGATGGACAGGAGCAGCATGATTTCTTAATGTAGATCATTCAGGAGCTGGGGCCAATTCATCACACAGTTCCATCAGAATTGCTCTTGGCAGTCTAAGATGACTGATAAGCCACAAATCATCACTGGAAAAATAATCATTGTGGTCTCTAGATTCTCCCTCCTTTCGTATTTGGCCGCACACAATGTCCTCTAAGAAAGCTAAATATGCTATGATACTATGTGTGACATAGTTACACACACAAACCTTTTTATACCTATTACATGAAGGTGCCTACTTAATTTGACTTTTCAGTACACACACCTCTTAACTTAGAATGTACGCAATAACCATACTGGTGTATATATATAAAGTCATTCATTTAAAACCATAAAACAAATGGTGAATGTTAATTGTATGTCAGATAGAATAGAAATATTTCTGCATTTATCAATGCACATTTCACCAAGCGCTAAAACTGTAGATGCAACCAGGATGCACATTTCTGTCTGATCCATAGATGTTGCTTTTTCTTCTATGTCCACATTCGTACGACTGCTCTGGAACATTTATCAGCGGGCAAACCTTTTGAGAATGTTTTTTTTATATATCCCAAAAGCTTTGTATGAATGTGCGTATGAATGTTCGTCTTTTTCCTTCGTACAAAGCTTCCATAAATGAGCTCCCAGCACTTTTCAATTTTCAGCTGCTGTTTTCATTCAGCCTGACAGAGGGCAGACTTCTGCTTGGGTTTTTGGGTTAATCTTTTGTAGTCTAAGGTTATAAAAGGAAACATGATCTCTGTGAAGAGGATTATGAAGTCATTCACCATCAGCTTTCTGTCTAGGAGAAAATCTTCTGCAGCATGCTGAAAGGTCAAAGATGGGCAATCATGCTATTACATTCACTGCTAAAGATGCCCCAACTTGCAGAATCACGTCAAATGTGTAGTAGTGTTCTGTGAATTATATCATGCAGCCCAGTGGTAAATACCACGAGTCCAGGTCATTTCCCTTCAAGCAAGTACCTGCTGCTTTGTTTAGCTGTTGGTGACCCACACAACACATCTGGTTCCTGCTTGGCTTGTGATGTAACAATAGCCACAGCCTGGTGACAGTGAGAATTTGTGTTTTCCAGCTAAGAAGAACATTTATGGAGATGCCTGGGAAGAATGAGACTGGCGACAGTGACAGAGTGACATCCAGCTCCTCTGCTCTCTATTGGCTCAGCAGATGTCTGATTGTATTTCTAAAAACCTGTCATTATGGTCTGTACCTTTCATATCTCTGCTTCAGACACTGTGCCATTCCACGGTGATCTTGGCAATCACACAAAAATACAGCCTCAGAACAAATCACTGTAGTGTCCTGCCAAGCCAGCCCTGAAATTTCTAGGTTAAAAATGTTTTAAATCTTCTCAATAAAGCTAATTCGCCAATGGATGCTGAAGCCAGTAGTTTTGTCAAACTGTGATATGAACATAGTGCAAAGGATGTGTGGAAGCTGAGCGAAGTTCTGTTGATGCAATGTAACTTCATGACCACAAGGGGTCAGGCTGTGGGTATTATATGTCAAGGGCACTTTTCAACCACACCAGGTTCCATACTTTTGGTACTTCAAGGTAGGTTTTTCACTACCATAAAAACTGGTACTGGCGCTAAATGATATCACGATGCAAAGTGGGATATTTTGTACTGAGTTAGAATGGCTATAGCATATTATAAGGCTGGGCAATGTCCGATAATATCAACACAGCATGTTATGCACATGCAATTCTTACATCGTTAGTCAGCTAAAGATCAGCCTTTTTCTTACCTTCTATTCTGTACAGACATTATAGCACAGGGAGTTTAAACTTCACAAATTTTTTTAACTGTCATAGCAAAACAATTTAACAAGCTTTGCTATTTTAATTATTGCCAATTTTCTTTTCAAGGATATCTAGTATATGTTTAAACATTGGTTTAAAGTTTACCTCCGCTGCTTTTCCATAAGCACTGCGTGTGTTCTCCAAGTCTATCATAATGATTTTACCCTTGTGGTTTAAATCACTGCTAAATGGGTTAAGAAATTTTTGCTTTATAAATACCCCAAAATTTAGTACAAAAATCACATATATTGATATTTAAAATGTTTCCAATACAGTGCTCTCTACAGAAGAGGATTAGGGCCACCATGAAAATATTTTAATTCTGACTAATTTCAGAATTCTGAGTTTAGAAAAAAAGTCAGAATTCTGACAAAGTCAGAATTCAAATAATATTTTCATGGTGGCCCAAATCCTTTTCCGTAGCTCTCCTAGTATATTACACAAAATATTTTATTTGTTGTCTTGTCAACCTGATCTTGTATCTGTTCTTCCAACCAGATTGCAGTTTAACCTTGAGTCTCTTCATTTGTCCACGCATTCATTATTTCGTTTATTGTCGTTTTCTGTGTTTGACGCAGATGATTTGCATAACCAAATCGACAAAGCATTTCAAGACCCACCCCAAATTACCGTAGTAGTACTCCACTGGGTTTGGCACTTTTAAGTACTAGAATTTTTTGTACTGGAAAAAAATCAGTGGAAAAGTACCATACCAAAAGTCCAGTACCTGGGGTGGTGTTAAAGTGCCCTTTTTTGAGATATACCAAGAACGGTTTTCTCTTTGAATATCTTTCTCCTACGGGTTAATTCAAAAGAATGAGTAGACATAAATGAACGATGTACGAAAATTCAGATTTATTAGTATTTTTGGTATGCATCACTCTTGAGAAAGATGGAAAACTGATGGACTGACTCCAGAGACTCAGGTGGGGGTTCACTGTGAGGAGGTGAAAACACTTCTTTAGGATTATCACTAAGCAACATCCATCAATGACCAACAGACCTTGGTGAAGATGAATTTGAAGACAGGAGTTCCGGGCAGCAGGACAGATATACATAATGAAATGCTAAGGCAGAGGTACTCAAACTGCTGGTAGAGCTTGAAAAATAATTGAATACCCCTGAGATAAGGGTATTAAGATTGGACAATACTCCTGAACAGCAATTTTTCAAAAACTGGGAGAAATCCACAATTATATTACAGTATTACTTGGACTATTGGTGTGGTATGTAATAAGTAAGTTTGTGGGTGGGTATTCACTTATGTTTGGTTGGGTGTTACCACCTTAGGCCTGGGTTTTGGACACTTGCACTCTTCACAAACATGGTGGCAGTGTCTAAAAACAACAGGGCTCAGTCATGCATGTTTACTCACAGTTTACATACAGTTTCTACATTCATGCAAGTATACTGTACCATTAATAGACATTATTGTAATGCTATTCAATTTCTAAACTACAGCAAACCTGGTCTATCACATTAATAATATATCTGAAATTACTCGAATAAATCAAATTAAGTGCCTTTCTGAAAAGTACAAAGACAAAGGTCTTAACATCTCTCACCTCTTGTGTGCTGGACAGCGTTCCCAAAAGCCACACATGAACCCTGGGCCAAAGCGATACTGGGGAAACTCAAGCCCACGTGTGTGGAACTTCTCTCTGCAGGTACTGACATAGGAAGCCTTTCCTGCTGCAAACCCCAGAATGCCAGCCACTGGAAAAAAAGATCAGAAGTCATCTAAGCACACATATTCAGTCTGGCACGTGGCTGTCAGATGGTTTATCGAAGCCGTGCTTTGACGTAGCAGGTGTCTGAGACCAGTTCTCATTTTGCTGGGCCTGGAGGTACTACATGAACACGCAGAAAGGGATTTTCATCAGTACTGACCCAAGCTAAAGCTGTGGAACAAAGCAGAATGTCTCAGAACCTCCTACCTATCCACTCAATGGATGGATGGATTTTTAACCAGGGCTGTGTAGAGGGAGAGTCAAAACATTTTAGTGGATTATCCCCCACTAAATTACTAGATTTAGGGAATGTTAACAGAAAAGGCTAAAATACTGGATAAAGTTAGCAATATAAAACATTGACCACAAGCAGCTTATTAATTGTAAATTCTGTCCAACGTGGTGTAATTAGAGAAAGAAGGCTTCTAAACATTTTTTGAAGAACGGTGAGTTAAATATTACTTAATATAATATTAAATATAATAATGGATTATGTGATCAACTGAATTTTGCTAGTTAACATTTGCTAGCTTTTCTCTGTTATCTTTCATAAATAAATAAATTTTATTTTTTTGCAATTTTTAGGTACTGTGAAATTTCTCCAGTGATTTGTCTTTTCTTCATATCACTGGAAAAACTACAATTTGTACACCTTTCCTCAGTTATTACAGTATTACTGAATTACAAAAATTAAAGAAATGTTAGAACATTTATTCTAATATGAATTTTGAAAGGTTCCTTAACTTAACCTCTCTAAAATTCTACCAATAAACATTAAAACATGATTGCACTTGACTGCCATGCAAGTTTAAAAACATAGTAAAAAATAAAATTGAAAAACAGCAGCAACATCCTTTAACAATGGCAAGCATAAAATATGTCAAGACAGGTAACCCTAGCTGTTAATAGTACCAAATTTTACTTTACATAAATATTGTAAATCAGTGCATTTATTGACTATAAAATTGCCAAAAAATAATCACTGTTCCATTAGAATGGCCTGCCAAGCACTTCCTGGAACTATTTTAAGTCTATTTGAACCACGTGACATTTTGAACTTTGTTGACATGACACACTCTGCATGTCTCTGAATTTTACCAATTCCACAGGGAAATTCATTGAACCAATGAATTACCCAACACCACAGAATTCACTGTATGGGGTCTAGGTACTTACATGCAAGCTTGGGGAAGGGTCCAAACCTCTTTGAAGATTTCAGAACACCTATCAGGAAAGAAAAGGATGAAATATGCAGAGAAGCTCATCTACAGTTTTGGCCAAAAGCTGAGAATGACAAGTATTGGTTTTCACATAGTTTGCTGCTTCAGTGGTTGTAGATCATTTTCTCAGATGTTTCTATGTTATACTGAAGTATAATTACAAGCATTCCATAAGTGTCAAAGGCTTTTATTGACAATTACATTACGTTTATGCAAAGAGTCAATATTTGCAGTGCTGGCTCTTCTTTTTCCAAGACCTCTGCTATTCGCTCTGGCATGCTGTCAATCAGTTTCTGGGCCAAATCCTGACTGATGGCAGCCCATTCTTGAATAATCAATGGAGTTTGTCAGAATTTGTAGGTTTTTGTTTGTCCACCTGCCTTTTGAGGATTGACCACAAGTTTTCAATGGTATTAAGGTCTGGGGAGTTTCCTGGCCATGGACCCAAAATGTCAATGTTTTGTTCCCCGAGCCACTTAGTTATCACTTTCGTCATATGGCACGGTGCTCTGTCATGCTGGAAAAGGCATTGTTCATCACCAAACTGTTCTTGGATGGTCCAATAAATGGTTGACTTAGGTGCAATCTTACAGAATGTCCTTGCCTGTGAAGTCCATTTTATGCAAAGCAATTATGACTGCATATTTCCATGCAGGTGACCATGGTTAACAGAGGAAGAACAATGATTTAAAGCACCACCTTCCTTTTAAAGCATCCAGTCTGCTATTCTAACTCAATCAGCATGACAGAGTGATCTCCAGCCTTGTCCTCATCAACACTCTCACCTGTGTTAACAAGAGAATCACTGCAATGATGTCAGCAGGTCTTTTTGTGGCAGGGCTGAAATGCAATGGAAATTGCTATGAAAATGAACTTAATCCCAAAAAAAATCAAAGAGGGACTTTTCATCTGATCACCCTTCATAACATTCTGGAGTATATGCAAATCGGCATCATAAAAACTGAGGCAGCAGACTTTGTGAAGAACAATATGTGTCATTCTCAAAACTTTTGGCCACGGCTGTACTACAAGCCCATACAACTGACTTACCCCATTTAATGAGATTTAAGGGCTTCAGTGGGGATGTTTTTAGACATGCTAAGGCAGGGGTGGCCAATCTTATCCGCAAAGAGCCAGTGTGTATGCAGGTTTTCACTGCAACTTCCTAATTAGGTCACTAATTAGAGGACTGATTGGCTGAAGAGTCCTCACACCTGGGTTTGAACAGCTGACCTAAAGGTTACCCCAAAAACCTGCAAACACACCGGCCCTTTGCGGATAAGATTGGCCACCTCTGTGCTAAGGAATCCTGCCAATGGTGTTTTCCCATTACTGATTTCTTAAGACTCCCTTTTGGGTAAAATTATGGAACAATTATGGAAAATCAGCTTCTTAATGGTTGATTCAAGTAGAAGGGCCAACCCATTAATGAGCAGGCTCAGCATGCCATTGGTTGGTCTTACCATTGTAGATGAGCCCTCCAGTGACAGCCATGCTGGCCAGGGACAATGGAAGAGCTGTGATGGGACCACAGTAATCATCAGGCTTCATAATTCATCATATACTCTAAAAACAACAAGCTCCTGAGATCCAGCAATTTACTTTTGTCCTCTCTAAAGTACATTATGTTTTGCCTCATATCTCTCTTACTATACATGCTACTCTATTAAGTCCTATTGATCCTTAAAGAGGACAGTCAGGCCTTTACGATGGCATCACATATGTGGGTGTGTGTTCCTCTTCCTGTCAAATATTTAATTATTATTAAACATTTCTCCCCCTGGATCCCAGGAGGATAGTTATTGTGAGGAATATCCTTAAAATGAGGTTCCAGCTGATTAGTGACGCAAAAGCATGGTGTCTTTGCCTAGTCAGGCCATATTTGCAGTGAATGAAGGGCAGTCAGCAGAATAGTGACTAAACTTCACTAAAGACTACCACTTCTCTGAGCAAGACAAGTGATTTGAATTGTGCCACTAAGACAACTACAAAGGTAAGTAAATTAAACAATAACTATGGAAGTAAATCTGTGTCATCAGAATTTGAATTTTATATGCCACTGAAATTCTAACGTTGAATATTTATGCATTGGAAATATGCATCGGAAATTCGATGGTCCGAATTCACATGCAAAAAAAACGAGGTTAAAAAATACAAAGACAACATTTCAATGCTGCTCCAATTCGACGGTTCGAATTCACATGCAAAAATACGAGTAAAAATACATCCGGGATACCAAGGCTAAGCAATCGAATCTGTGGCTGCGTTCGACTTGGGCTTAGGTCTGTCTGCAGCTGACGTGACAAGAGCATCTGGCTGCGGCTGCAGGGGTGGAGTATAAACTGACTGCAGCCAAGCCGGACAACTTCTACTCCTCATAGTGTGCGAGACCTGACTGCAATGGCCGCACTGCCAGAAGGGTGTAGATAAATCTGTACAAATATCACCTGCATGCACATTACTTTTTTTCCAATAACCAACTCCTGATACAAACTGTTAGCAGTGGAAAAAAATAAACTATTGTGTAGAGTGGCCCTGTGTAAAAAGAAAAAAGATCAAATACATGTATTTCAAGGAATGAAAGTTTGTACTGAGTAAAATGAATTTCTTACGTGAATGCCTTCTTCACAGACTCAACGATTAAAGAAATAAAGCAGCGCAACATTACAGTAACTAACAATAAATAAACCACTAACTTACGTGTACTTTTAGAGCATTCATATAATTTATTTAAACTTTATTTTACCAGGTAAATTAACTGAAAACCAGTTATAACTGCTTTGCGTGATATTCGGGAGAAATAGCAGATAACGCCTCGGAAGTTGTCGAAACTACCTGGGATACAAACGTCAGGACCGCAATGCATTGCTGTTGTGTTGTAAGCGGTTGCACGAAGTCGAACGCAGCCACAGATACGATTGCTTAGCCTTGGTATCCCGGATGTATTTTTACTCGTATTTTTAACCTCGTATTTTTGCATGTGAATTCGAACCGTCGAATTGGAGCAGCATTGAAATGTTGTCTTTGTATTTTTTAACCTCGCATTTTTGCATGTGAATTCGGACCATCGAATTTCCAATGCATATTTCCAATGCATAAATATTCAACGTTAGAATTTCAGTGGCATATAAAATTCTAATTCTGATGACACAGATTTACTTCCATAATAACATTTTATATAACGCATTGTGAACCTCTGGACCTCACCAGTTTTCATTTGTGACATTACCAATGTCACCAAAACCCACAGAATCCTACAGAGAAACATTTTCTTCTGTACCCTAAAACTGTGTGCGGTAAATATGACAGGCTGACCTAAACAGGAGTGGCAGTCATACCCCTGAAAGCCTAGCCAATAAAAACCCTGGTTTAAACAGCAGGGAGAGCATGGGGGGGAACCATTAAAGTAAACAGAAGTACTGAGAACCATGTGAATATCTGCATCTGAGCACGTGCATGTGCCTGAAGACAAATAAAGGAGCTGATACCTCTGTACCAGAAGCTTTCTTCCTGACATTCCTTTATGGTTTTCCACACCTCATCCCGGCGAATGTGCTGGTCTCCTGGATGACACTGTAACCCAAACAGAGCATTTACCTCCCTGACCAGCCTTCACACTCTAAAGCTCCCAGTAGTTCAGCTCCACTCACCTTCCCCTTGCAGCCATGGCCCTCCTTTTTTCCAGGGGTTTCCACAGTCACGGTGTTCTCAGACATTCTTGACTCTCCTGATCTCTCTCTTTCCCTCGTTCGCTGATCACCAGCTACGCCTGCTCAAATCAGTAAACAAGGCTATTCAAAAGCAGACAATTTCATTAGTTGAGAGGAAAGTCAAGGTCCAAAGTCCCATCGTCGGTACCTGGTCTATGTCATTAAAACAGCTCAGATTACCTAATATGCGCCTTCCCTGCGAATAATGACTTACTTTAAAACCTGCACGTTAACGGTATTATTTCGGAAACACGTAGGCGGCGCTCTTATAGACAAATGCTTATGTGAAAATCATTGGTGTCAGCGCCCTCTAATGGAGCATTTCACGATGAGCATTTATTTTTCCTCAGCGTTCAAACATCGAAATTTGTACTAATAAATTATGTTAGGCCGTTTTTATTTTTTGATTCTGCTTCTTTGTATTACACGATGTCTGTAGGGTTCCAGTACATAGTGATGGCAAATGTGTAAATTCCATGTAAAATTAACAGATACGTTGACGCAGTTTCTCGCTTAAAGTTCATGAACTATACACTAGTGTGCAGTGTAAAAAAGTCAGAATTACTGTTTCATAACTTATTCAATTATTCAGAAAGCTTTGTGGCGACCTGCTTTAGAGCGCACCAGATGTACAACCCGGCCTGGAAAGGAAAAATAACTAATAAAAACCAATCAACCAGCGGCGTACCTGAGATTACAGCCGACAGAGAAGATCCAGTTATAAAAGCAGAGTTTTATTCCCAAATCTCAATCCAAAATACAGTAGCAGAACGTCCGGCAGGCAACGCCAACGAAGACAATCGTAGGTCACAGAATTGATCGAACAAGTGCAACAAAGAGGAAACATACCTAAAACCAAGAGAAAACCGATAAATGAGGCGGAGGCCGTACATGGGGCGGAGCAGCCATGAAATAAATGTTCAATAGAGTAAGACGCAATAATGTGCAATACGTGACTGGAACCCAGGTCATTATACTAATACCTACAAGATTCATATGCGTGTGTGTGAGGCGGAACGAGAATGGGTATAGTTGAATGCCGGAGTAACAGTTAAATTGTTTAGGCTATTTGACAGGGAGAATAAGTTTTGGCTACAGATCCGTCTAACCATACTGGGAATTCCTGTAATATTAAATTAAATGTTTTGGATTCATCTTTGGACAGCTGAACTCTAATCGATTTATTCTGATGGTAATGGCCTTTCAGTTGATTGCTGAATGAAACGGACCAGTCCACGCCAGTTGAGATCAATCTATAACTTCTATTTGGCTGGAATTTCCACTAGGGAAAAATTCAGGTATTTTCAAAACAATTTAAATTACGCTCAAGGTTCTCTGCTTGAATACATTTCATAAATCCCATGTGTAACTGAATACATATGTAAAATTATATAGGTGCCCCACGCTGCCTAACAATATGTGCTCAGTTATGCACCAGCTCATATAATTGCTTCAATGAAACCTAATTGTTTTCTTAAATATCTTCAGCTCTGTTTCTCCCGAAGGCGGAAGTCTAATATTATTAGCACTGTTTTCTGTAGGGACACATCTTATTACAAATGTGTAAGATACATTTTCGTGCTGTTTGTAATGTAAAATCTTGAGATGTTCTCTTTATTTTGGCGAATGTGCCAGGCTAGCAATTTCGAATAGCCTTAACAAAAAAAAGTCGTCACCATCTACATTGCCCTTGTTGTGGACATTCTACAAAGCAGGTTGCGAAATACTTCAATGCCATTTTTATGCGTCAATCTATGTGTACACTACTGGTGTATTTATTTTCTTTAGAAGTGTAGCAAAGACCATATAGGAACAGATATGGAGACTAATCTAAACCCACCTCCCCGCCCACATACTTTTGAGAACATTTCCGTACACTGCGAATTCTAATAAACACTGATCTAAAAAACCTCCTTAAAATTCAATGACTTAAGCTGTACGAGTTGACAGAATATACCACCTTAATATACAGCGTAATCTTGGTTATCAGAACTATATGCTGAACTTTCGTCCCTTGGCTAACAAAAGATTTTGGTTTAAATAGTGTTTTGTCATCAAAGCGTATAAAGTATATCTAAATAACATAAACGACCGTATTTGATGTAAGCTAAGTGCTTACGGCCAAAATACATCCTAATGCAAGCATTCATCAATGTCCCAACTTAAAACAAAAATACAAGTCTCATTAGTAAACGGGAGACCACGCCCTACAGTAAACAAAAGTTAGCATTTTAACCAATGATTTAGAATAACACGCGCAAGGTCTGTTACTGATTGCTTTGTTCACCAATACACTTTGCCTTAGGGTGGGCTCAAACTGCACACATCACCAATAAAAGTCCATCGTGGGCTGCTCTATATTTTGCACGAGGTAAGTCTTGTAATTGATATGCATGGTAAGTTCACTGACCAATGGCTCACGTCGAGGGGCTGGCGTTTAGTGAAACTTTGACCTGTCACGTTCTTAGGAGGGCGGGCATAAGTATTTTATCGTCATTGTGATTGAACGACAGTCATATAAACCAATCCCCTACTTAAATAGAAGAGCCTGTCAGAGGCTTATGTCCATCTAGATCATTCGTGGGCGTGTGGAAGGTTGACATGTCCCGCCCCTTGGCCGGTCTGCAGACTTGCACAGAAGCGAGACAGTCACTGTGTGTTCAATAAAAATGCACTCAGATGCAGCAGGTAAGTTATTATGTCCGTTGATGTCAAATTGTCCATAACACATACCAGCTTTACAGCGTGCCGAATTCCCTAGATGTTGTAATGCATTTTGTCTCGGAAAGATTTCTATTTTTTTAAATATATGGTATTCTGAAGAGAACTAGCTACATCGCCTATAAGCAAGCTATTGTACTAGCTAATCAAAAAAATCTGTCAGTTAGCTCGGAAATTACTTCTCTCATTGTATGATTTTCATATGTCTTTTGGCTGTAATACAAGTATCAGTCTACAGAAAATAAACTTGAAACGTTTGTTTAGAAGAATAAATCGTGATACAATAAGTATACCGTTATACAGTACACTTAAGCAACTGTATCAACCAAACTGGTGTATAAATTAGATTCTATAGGTTCTTGAAAAGACCGTCAAGGTTTTTGTCATATATGTGCATGAATGAAATTCTCATGCACTGCACGTTCAGCAAGACTGATACTGAATTTCGTAAGGTAAATGGGCCAATTTTCGAAGAAACTGCGGAAAAACAGGGAATGAAAATTGTGACGCAGTTGTGTACAATGTAAACGTTGCAATCGAGATGGAGACCTTGTAGCGGCTTATATGCGCCATCTGCGTTGACTAGAGAAACGACGTAACCTGTTTATTGAGGCGCTTGATTAACGTTGCAACATTCTGCAACAATTTAAATAGCATTCGTCAGTTGGGGAGAGTGTTAGGAGATGGTTGCTGAATATAATGTCATTATTTTACTGGGACATATTGGGAAGTGTAGTCCAGTTTCTTACATCTGTACTAATGCATGGAGGCATGCGTAATTATTTGGACTACAAGTCCCAGATGTCCGTCGACTCTCTTGATACTTTGAAAACTTAGTGCAAGTTGTCACCGTGTTGTGTTCTGATATGCAGCCCAGTTGGATTTGATCGGTGATTATTGCTTTGTGAGATGTGTTTGTCTAGATTTCTTTAATCGTATTTTATAGTAGATTCAAGCGATTAATCTTCTATTTCACGCTATCGTGTAGTGTCATCTGTACAAATATCTGATGGATCAGTCCAGCCACCCATTAACTTTGCTTTAACTTGGCATTTTTGCAACTACTTATAGTTAGGCGTTCGGCCAGAAATATAGGCATATTTGACAAACTTTACAATCTCCAGCAATTGTACCCCCTCACCGCCATACTGCGTGGGGGTTATTTAACATTTTAAACAATAGCTTTTTCTGTCAATCACTAGTGCGCGAACATAGGAAGCTCGACGAACCCACAAATACACTAGAAATCCATCTTTTTTTTCAGCCAGATGGGGATGAAGTGCAAATTGACAATTTTGCCTGTGTTACAAACTCTGTTGTCGGCGTCTGTCCGCGATCTAACGACAAGAGTAGGAGAAGGAGGCTGGAAAAGTAGGACAGACGCTATTGCAGGACTTACGCAACAAAACGATGCTTCTATGCACGGTGCATACCGTAGGCAATGGCTAATTCCCACTACCGTGGGAAACGGAAGTAAAAAGGAAACTCTGGTCTAATCCCATGGACTAAACATGGGGCTTTTTGATTGACGTAACTGCATTTGAGATCCATAATAAAAGCGCGTTTGTAATATAATAATGATAACAACAACAACAACAATAATAATAATAATGCAACAATAGATTTATGAAATTCACAACTTGGAGGAGCCGGTGGATGCCAAATCAGTTAACTGTGACTACAATTGTGACTTTATTGTTGCAGCTTTAGGGAACAACAAAAGTGAAATCCAAAACACTGCCCTTGTGGCAGACAAGTACGAATATGACATGTTTAAGGGGGTAGCGGCTGGCATCATGTTGAAGGGCCTGGGCAAATGACAGTTCGTTAAAATCTCAGAAAGGAAGATGATGTTGCACGCTTGGAAAAAAAAAAATCCCTTAACGTGAGTTTCTCCAGTAGAATGTAATGGGGCTTGACAGCATGACATTTGCGTTGCTCATGGCTGGGAAATAAAGTTAAATGTCTCCTTTGTCTGTAGATTTTCAGCTGAACTCCCATTTGTCAACGCTGGCCAGTATACACAAGATTTACCACACCCTCAACAGGCTGGTAAGGCTGCTTGGCATCCCCACCATGCAAGCAATTAGAGATCAGGACAGAAGTGAAGGGGATGTTTGGATAACATGGGGGGTGACTCAGGGGAATGGGCTGGCTGGGGTGGGGGAGGACTGCGCTTTATATTGTCTTCTTACAAGCCCCTGTGGTGACATTGAAATAGTCATAGAAGAGCAAAAGGCCTTGCCCCTCCCGGAGGCCTCCGCACCTGCCAACCCCTAGCATCCTCTGCAGCATGTATCCTCCCAGCATCCTTTTATGCATTTTCTGTGCGCTCCAGGTTGCAGTTTGCAGGTGTGTCTTCTGCTGCAAAGTAACTGTGCAGTTCTCTTTGCAGAACCTGACTGAGGACGTGAGCCCGGACACTCACTCCGCAGGTACCGCAGCCTCACCGTGCATGAGTGTGTTAGCACTGGACATGGCGCACGTGTATCCATGCAAGAACGTGCGTATACATGCCTGTATGTGCTTGTTTATGCAGCCTGCTGTTCTAGAGCCATGCCACCCAGGAAAAAGAGGCGACCAACTGCTGGCGATGACCTGTTTGTCAAAAAGAGTAGGCACGACAGGTACGTTTATGAACCAATTGGGGCTCACCAATGCGCAGCGTCTCCACAACAGAAGTAGTCATCATCCAATAAGGGAAGGATGACATGCAGTGGCTAACAATGGGGATGGTCGTGATCCAGCCTGAAATGAGACATCGCCCAGAATTAGTCACCATGTAACACACCCTTGAAACATCCCTTTAATCATTTTCTTCATCAATCTAGTATGTACCGGAAACAGGAGGCCTCCCGGATTAAAAGTGAAGATGTGTTCTCCAGTAAGAGGTGCCTGGAGTGGTTCTATGAGTATGCAGGTGAGCTGCACTAAGTCTCCTTCCTCTAGGTTTCAGTTCCATGCATTTTCAGCATTTGGAGCCCAACATTGACATTTTTTGTATTTTAGTGATTAGTTGCCATTTTCATTAGAGATTTCGGCCAGTTCTGACAATAGCTTCATTCTAGAATATAGAGATTCAGGAGGGGACTGATACAATGGTCCCCACAACATCAAAACATCACATTGTGGGGACACACACTTTATGTAGAACTATATTTGTGATGACCTCCCATTGCATCTTCATGCAGGCTGTGAAGATGTTGTTGGACCGGAGGGCATGGAGAAGTTCTGTGAGGACATTGGAGTAGAGCCTGAGAATGTGAGCTGCCTCCTGTCCACACTTGGGGGCGACGTAGCTCACAGCCACAATACCAACCATTATTCTAATGATGGAATGAAAGATATTACTCTGCTATAGCATGCAGACATAAAGTCCAGTACTGTAGTCACTACTCCACACTAACCCTCATGGCCAGAGTCCAGAGCTTTGTGCCACTACTCCAAATTAGCCACCATGGCTTAAGTGGCAGTATAAATCTGTCTGCCGCTTAGTCACAGTCTGTGCTCATTGTTGGCAGGTGGTCATGCTGGTTCTGGCCTGGAAGCTGGATGCCCAGAGCATGGGCTACTTCACGCTGCAGGAGTGGCTGAAAGGCATGAGTGACCTGCAGTAAGTCTTCATAAACACTAGGGGGTAGAGTGTAACCAGACGCTGAGCACACAGTCGCCCTTCACTGTAAACTTAGGTGTATATATCCGAGTTGGTCTCTCTGACGAGAAGCAGATTTTCTAGACATCTTCGCTGTGTTTCAAAAATGATGTGTATGTACGTTTGATAATGTAAGTGGTTTCTTAGTGAGTGTGTTTGTTTCCGGTACTTATCTGTACTCAAGCAGTTAAATTGGGTTCAGCTTGAATCATCTGGGGTGCATTCATGTCCTTCCCAGGTGTGATTCCACAGAGAAGCTGAGAAACTCTCTGGATTACCTGCGGTCCGTACTTAATGAGTCCACAAGTTTCAAGCTCATTTACAGATATGCCTTTGACTTTGCAAGGGTAAGATGGTACGGTCATCATAGGTAGCTGTACCACACATGCAGGAGTCTAACCCAGGAGCATAAATGTAATCTAGACTACTTTAGAAGCACCACTGATGACTCCAGTCAGTACTGACAGCCAGTCCACAGTAACCACACTACTCCCATTTTGTGTGTTGCTCCACCTTGACTCTGCTTTTCAACATGGACTGCACTGTTTTTTACATGTAGGAACCAACTCTGTTTATACATTGTATACTTTCAGGAAAAAGACCAAAGGAGTCTAGACCTGAACACAGCCAAATGCATGCTGGGATTGCTGCTTGGAAAGACGTGGCCTCTCTTCCCTGTCTTCAACCACTTTTTGGAGGTACTGTTCCTACCCGTGAATTGACATGGGTCTCTAACCTTTCTGTGTCTCATATTGGTATTAGACTAACACTCTGTCTGTCTGTTAATCAGGAGGTGTTGAAAAAAATATTTGTAAAATAAAACATTTGAGACTACTGCTGGTGTTAAATGGCACTGCAGTAAATTACGTAATGCAAAGGCTCAAAATATCGATGAGAAATTGTGATAAACTGAATCGTGGTATAAGAAGTAACTGCATATTGATGAAGCTTTATTTGTCATGCAGCAGTCCAAATATAAAGTGATGAACAAAGACCAGTGGTGCAACGTGCTGGAGTTTAGCAGGACCATCAACCTAGACCTGAGCAACTATGACGAGGATGGAGCATGTGAGGACACAAACACACAGATGTTTACGCCACACACACGCTCACACACCGGCACGCTTGATCGACCGGGCCTGGTGTTTTGCTCTGTTACAGGGCCCGTGCTGCTGGATGAGTTTGTGGAGTGGTACAAAGACCGGCAGATGTCGTAGCGGCGAGGGGAGTCCCCTCGGCGGAGAAACCGAACCAGCGGAAAAGACGGTGACAGCCCTGCGAAACTAGAAGCTCAGACGCCAGCGAGCTTGGACTGAGATAGCTTCTTGGGGTCCGTTATTGTATGGAATAGGATGCATGCCATTACTGGGGGGGAGGTGGGGAGTGAGCAGGGGCTCTATGTGGGGGGGGCCCCCTCTACATCCTTTGACCCCTCCACCCCAACATCCCTGCTGTACACATCTACCTTTCTGTGGTGCATTGTGGGTAAGCACATTATAAGCCCCATTCTGTGAGCTACGTATTGCTTTTCGCTTTTTTTGTGTATGTGTGTTTTTTTTTTTTTTGCTTTTCGCTTTGTCGACAGAGATGCTCTGTTACAGGGTGGGTTTCTGTTATTCTGTTATTAGTTTGCTTTGACTGAGCAGAGGAGGACCATCTTTGATTTATCTGTTACTCTCTGGTTTTACTCTTCAAAACGAAGCAGCCAAGGTTAAAAAAAAAAGAAAGAAAAAAGATATTTCATGTGCCTGGGTTCTTAATTCTTTTATACGGTATTTACAAAATTTATTTCACATATGATTTTTCTGCCTAATATTGTCTCACTGAGAAAGGATTAATGTGTATGGGTGATTATTTTGTGTGATTGGAAGTCTGTTGTTATGTGACTCGCTCACGGCCAGTTGAGCACAGTAAGTCACACCCTCTGGTTTTCACTCTCTGAGAAACCTTTGTCACCCTCAACTATTACCAAAGCACTTAGGGGTTACAGACTGGGCCACACCATGTGGGACAACATTTTGGACTGTGGGGGTCTGAAGTGTTATAGGTGGTGTTTGAACCAGTTGGGTTGCCTTCAACACCACAGACAAATGTGGCCACAGAGCCAACCTCCATAGATGTTCCTACCTGCAAACCACCACCACAACATTAGCCCCCACAGGCTACCTCCTTGGCCCCCACCCAGACTGATACTAAGCATCTACTTGACCCTTAGTCTGCAAGAAGATTGCTGTGATAGGAGAAAGGTGTTTGAGTTTTTGGACTGTAGAAGCACCAGTAGGTTGTGTTAGGTTGCAGGTTGGTTTTAAGGTTGCATGCAGAATTCTACATTGTCGATGCACATTCTGTGTATAGACCCATTCATGGTTAATCCTTGAACTGTATAATAGAGTTAACTTGCTCTCGATTCAGTGTAATCCTGAGTCGGGCAATTTTGATGCCTCATGACACTATGTAAGACAAACATACTGGGTATTATGGGACCACTATGGATCTTGATCATATGGTAGAAGTCTCAAAGTTGAATGGAGTATGTCAGTTAAGTGAAGCTTCACCTAGTGATTCACTCTTAATCGACGGCTGATTTAAAGGTGAGGGATCCGTCACTGCATGCTCTGAAGTGTAGGTTGTACTCATTGGGCCCCATCCCTCACAGCTGTCGTCCATAGCTGGGAAACCATTGGTGGGTGAGAGGTTATAGAGCTGAAGGGTGCAGTCTGTATGAGTATGAGTGATTAGAGATGATCATTCATGTTCAGAAAAATAATATGCCAAAAACAACCAGTGAGAAACAGCTGATTTTGTGTTTACATGGTGGTATTCTGCCCTGATGCAGGAACTCCTGTTTGTATATATGGTGGTTTTTTTTCTAACCACCCTTGTGATCTGGCCACTACAAAATCCTGCTCTAAATGTTGGGCTCATTAAGCTAATTAGATGCAGACCCGTGTATCTATTGGTTTATTTGTGTACCTCAATCAATATGGTAAATTTGTTTTAAGTTCCATTAAGATGAATCAGTTTACTTAATATCCCCTGAACAATGAAGTAACCAAAGTCATTTTGGCACTGGATTATTGCTTTAATAGCAATAGGGTGCTGTTGTGTAATTAAGTCATCAAGAGTTCAGCTGGAAGAAAGGCAGGCATATTTTTTTCCCCTGAGGCAGTGCTGAGTGCTGTGGTGCTAATGCTAAGTGGTTACTGTCGCCATCCAGTGTTCACTTTGAGCATTGGCACTAAGGGCAGTAGCTGGTAGGCCTGGTACTGAAGTCCCATGGCCCTGCGCATGTCCCAGGACCAGAGTTTAACCTAACGGTTAACCTTAGGAGTACTTTTTGGATTGATGGAGATAAAAATCAGAGGTGGTACTCAAGGACAAAGGTTGCCTAACCACAGCTTAGGGTATGACCATGATAAGCAGGCCTTTAGCCAGAAATACATTTCGGATGGGTCCAGTAGATTTTGCCAACTGTGGGGGTATCTCTTAATAGATTGTGCTGGGCAGGAGCAAATGTTGGGGGTGGCTCAAACCAGTAATTTTACTACCTGGCTACATGACTGGTGATCAGTATGGTGCTTTGTAGGGGCAAGCAAACAACTTCTTTACACTGGATAGTGCCTGGGAATACCCCCGTCACTATTCTTCTCAGCATGCATTGAGCCACATTTTAACCTATGGAGTCTGTGATAATACCAGGATTTGCCTCTAAAAAAATTCTTCAACTTGCAACTTCAGTTTTGTTCAGACTTTTGCAAAGAACTGAGCTGGAAAAAAAGGCTTTTTTTAAAATATTGTACGGTAACATTACAAGCTTTTTTTGATATCCTCTGTTTTGCTGTCTTAACACTTTAAAACGGAATGTTGTAATATACTCATTGCTGAACTGAAGCCGTCACATCTCTTGATGAAGAATGGTTTGCTCCTGGACTAAGGGTGGGGAACGGTGATACAATTTTTAAAAAAGCCTTTGATCGAATGTTACAGATTCCAGTCCCAGATTCAACTGTTCAGTTGCTATAGCATTAGGTGCAAGTGCTGATGGGAAATGTAGTTTGGAGCAACTGTGAAAAATACCAGTACCTTATGCCTCCTCTCTCAGCAGCACGACTTGTGCCAATCAGGTCTACCTGTCCCCTGAGTCCCAGTTGGGGTATGGGAGGGGCCTGTCTTTGGCCCGCTACCGTGCCAAGCCTTGGGGAGGGGGCAGGGGGGGGGGGTCGTACCCACGTCTCCTCAAACTTGTCTTAGTGCATCTGTGATTTATGCTTAGCCTTGGTGGTGTTCATGTTTCGATTGTGTATATGTGTTGATATACGTGTGTCTCTGCTTTTCTCTGTAATTAACCTCCATATAAAATCTTTATCAGCTGTCTGCGTCAACTGTGATTTATTTGCAACTGTGGGGGATGGGGGGTTACAGTAACTAGTTCCAGCCTAATATGGGAGAAAAGATTACAAAATTGTTACATGTACTTTTGTGGAAATAAACTATGTTCAGTTACCTTTGTTTAATAGATTACAATGGAACTTTAATATATGATTGATTCATCTAAATTAATTTTCAAAGAGCAAAAAACATCCATCTCTTCATCTACTATATCATTTAACCATACTGTCCTATGAAGACAAAATATAGTGACTAAGCTGACACTGAAACTGAGGAAAAGGGCTTCAAAGTGTTCACCAGTATGTGTCATAGCTAGGTAAATGATAGTGTTTTCTTCAAAACAGTATAGTTGAACTAAGATAAAATAGAGCCTAAGAGACCTAATTTTGATGATTTTGATTTTGATAAAATATGCAATTATGGCATTTTGCTTCGCAGTGAGAAGCCGGAAGAATTGAGCAGAAAGTTTGGGTGGTCACAGAAAGGGCTGTTGTGTATGTGGGTTTATCCTGCACCTCTCTGATTAGATTACTAATTAGAGGACTGATTAGCTGAAGAGTCCTCAAATCAGGATTTGAACAGCTGACCTAAAGGTTATTCCAAAAACCTACATACACACCGGCCCTTTGCAGATAAGATTGGCCACCCCGCTACAGCTGGTTATGGTTAGTTAAGAGTATAGCCAATCAAGATCCAAAGCAAGCAGCCAAGGTCAGGGCTGGAAAAAATACCATGGCTACTAATTAAGAGAAATGGAACCAAAATCCAGCACAACCCACAGTCCACAAGGAACAACAATCACTTACCACTCACCCAGCTCCCTCATCTCAGAACAATGACACGAAAAGTAGTTTTGTGCTGATTGTGGTGCTTCCATCTAATGTTTTTGTATAAGAAAACAAGGTGCAAACATGGAGCAATGGCCAACAAAGAATAAGTTATGTTAAGGGAGGAAGGATGAGAAAGAGTGAGAGGAAGTATTTTAGATACAATATAATTTGTATTTTTCCCTGTTTTTATAATTTGACATATAATTTGATATAATTTGATGCTTGGTATTTTGTTTCTTTTTTTTTTTTTGCTTGGGTAACAGGTCAAAGAATGACAAGACGTTGATTTGGAAGTGTCATCATCAACAAAATACACCTAAATTCTGAGAAAATAATTTTTTCTCATAGACAAATTATATGTGAGACTAAAATGAATTCAAGCCTCACTGCCTTGGTTATTGTCAATGTCTGAAAGCTGGGAGGACTGAGTCCCAGAACTGGAAAACCTGAAGCTGAAGTCAATGTTACTCTGATCTTCTCCATGTTTTTGTGTGTCTGAAAGATGTGGGCCCCTGTAGGGCTCATCTGCTCGTTTGACATCTCTCTGCATATCTCCCATAGCTGTAGTTCTATGCCTCCAGGAAGAGGTATGACTTGATGTCAGATCTTCACTCATTATTCCATCAGAGCGTTTGGTGGATGAGGCAGTTGTATCCGTCGTCTTCCACCCTTGGAGGAACAGCCCTCCAGCTCTCCAATCCTGCTTCCGTATTCCCTGCACAGACTCTTCTTGCACAAGGGATGGAAACATATCTCCTACAGCCTCTTCCTTAAGGGTGTCTTTGTCAATGGGCTTCTGGCTCAAATCAGAACTCCTCCTTGGTTTTATGGGTAGGACTGAGTTCCATCCCATAATTGGCGTGTATGGACTGGCTGTGAAAAGGAAGGGTCTTCTGGTTATTTGTAGTTGACTAGTTTCCCAAGGTTTCTGTCTCCAGTCTCTAGAATCTGCAGCAGTTAGAGATGGAGGAGTTACATCAGTCCACACCTTGGGTTGTGGTTCTTCAGAATGATATACTAATGGGTTCTCTCTGGGTTCTCCAGCTGATGTTACTCTCCCACTGTCTGCTGCAGAATCCCAGGGTGCTTCTTCTGGGCTCCCCTCTGACCAATGTCTCCCAGGTTTGGGCCATTCAGAGCCCAAACCTCTTGGTGAACAATTGAAGTGATAATCCATGTGTTTTTCTAAAGATATGCTTGGCATGTCCTCAAATGTGGATGTTACAGGGATATCAGAATGGGTGTCTGGATGCTTTTGAATGGTGCTGTTATGAGCAAAAGAGGTTTTATCAAGTTCTGGCTCATCTTTACTGTTCATTCTGTTTAGTTCTCTAAGAACAGTGTTCTCTGTTGGTTCATCTGTAGTATCATTGGAACTGCAACTAGACTGATCAGGGCTCTTGAGATTGTCACATGACTTCCTTGCAAACTGAACTACAGGATCTGTCCCATCCTTTGGGTGAAGGCAGAAGGTGTCTTTACAAAATACCTTGAGATCAGGGCTGTGACCCATTAATTCATCTGTAAGCTCATCAGTAGGGGTGTGTTCTATATGTTTATCATTAAGCTCATAGCTCTGTGCATATCCTATAGGTTCATCATAAAGCTCATAGCTCTGTGCATATCCTGTAGGTTCATCATCAAGCTCATAGCGCTGTGTATATCCTGTAGGTTCATCATCAAGCTCATAGCGCTGTGTATATCCTGTAGGTTCATCATCAAGCTCATAGCGCTGTGTATATCCTGTANGCTGTGTATATCCTGTAGGTTCATCATCAAGCTCATAGCGCTGTGTATATCCTGTAGGTTCATCATCAAGCTCATAGCGCTGTGTATATCCTGTATGTTCATTATTAATCTCATAGCTCTGTGTGTGCTCTGTAGGTTCATCATTAAGCTCATAGCTCTGTGTGTGCTCTGTAGGTTCGTCCTTAAACTCATAGGGCAGTGTGTGTCCTGTAGGTTCATCATTAATCACACAGGTCAGTGTGTGTTCTGTAGGTTCATCATTAAGCTCATAGCTCTGTGCATATTCTGTAGGTTCGTCCTTAAGCTCATAGGTGAGAGTGTGTCCTGTAGTTTCATCATTATGCTCAAAGCTCTGTGTGTGTCCTCTAGGTTTGTCCATAAGCTCACATCTCTGTGTATATCCTGTAGGCTCATCTCTAAGCTCATAGCTCTGTGTGTGATCCGCTGGTTCATCACTGAGCTCATCACTGTTCATTTGTCCTTTCACTTCATCTGTATGCTCCTGGCACAGTGTGTGATCTGTTGGTTCATCACCATTGTCATGCTGATTTTGGATCTGCAAAGATTCAGATGATAGAGACATTTGTTCAAGCTTAACTACAGGATCAGTCGCTTGATATGTGTATTTGTTGACAGAATCTTTGTAAGAGAGCACATGATTAGAGTTTTCATCTTGTGGTCCACGTAGACCTTGACTTTCCTGTGGATGATCCAGAGTCAGATCTCTAAGCATAGTCCCAGGATCTGTCTTTGCCTGTATGGCTAAATTAAATTGCGATAGATCTTTCCCAGAATCACTGAACTCAAAGCTTTCTCCACTGTCATTCCAGAAATCTGGATCCAAGTTTGGATCCAGTAGATTAGGTGTTTCGGATACAGTACAAGCTGTGAAAGATTCATGTGACGGTCTAGGACTCTGGCCCGGACAAGGATTCCAGGTTGTGTTGGATTTACCTAGATCATTGTCTTTAATCTGGTCTTCCTCTTGTTCATAAATATTCTTAGACCAGTCCACCTCTAACTCTCCCTTAAAATAATTGTTATTGAGGTGGTTATCCTGGTCTACTCCATGAATCTCATCTGGTTCAGTTATGTTAACTGGATTTAGGTTGACCTCAGCATCTAAACTGTAGGCATCGTCAGTGAGCATTATCTCTGTCATCGAGTTGTCTGACTTGTCATCACCTTCCTTCCAAGGTTCTTGGTTTAGCTCTGGAGGATTGCCTTTTCTCACCACTGAGACGTTCCCATAGGTTGATCCTGCATCGATACTGACCTCCTCATTTTTTGGTGTAACAGTGCCCTCTGCTGAGCACTCAGGTTTAGGTGAGGCACCATCAGGGTTGGGGAGGACTGTGATGTAGTATGGCTCACTAGCCCGATGATTGCCAGATATCCTTCTCTCTTGGTCATCTTCTTCATCTTCAACAGAATAACCCATATTCTCACATGGATTTGGGGACTCTGTAAGGGTTTTTCTGGCACACATCCTCCTCCAAAGAACATTGAGGAGTGGTCTGGCCAGGGCTCCGAGGATAAAGGCACCTATAAAGGTGATGAATACGGAAAGACAGACTGCCTGGACAAATTCTGAATGTGACTTCTCCGCTGCTCGTTTTGGGGACTGGACATCTCGGGTTATTCTCTGCACACCCAAACTGCCATTGCGGACTTGGATATCAAACACAGAGGCCAGCCTTTGGTTTTCCACGGAGGTGCATGCGTATAGACCCTCATCATGCATGCCAATGTTATGCAGCAGCAGGCCTCCCTGACTGTCGGTGCTTTCTACTACCCCATGTGGTGTCCACCAGTATATCAGGACTGTATCTGCAAATAAAACAGAGATGAAATTAAAGGTTTGACAGAATGCTTATAAAGCTGTCCACTTTCTACTCTAAAGTCATTTTTTCTTATTTTATTTTTTTTTTCCTAATTAACTGTCTAAATGTGGATACTCATCTGATGTAAACCTGCAATTTCCTTGGATTTTCTAGGTGTATGACTAAGATGATGGTCCTAGGCTGACAACCTCATCACCCATACATGATAACATGATATTGCGATTTTCTTTGGGATTACTAAAGTGTCCATCCATCCATCCATCCACCCACCCTCAAGCGATCTACTCATGATTACCCCATTTTTCTATGCTGCATGGCAGGAGAAAATCAGCTCCAAAGTCCACAGTCACATCCTGATAGCACTTAGCATTGGAGGTCACAGTGACGCAGGTGAGCTCTGCTTCATCCACATGCATTAGGTCCCTCCCAGCCAGTTCTGATGGTGCCTCACACACCACCTTCCAGGACAGTTGTGACCAGCCATGGTCAAAGCTCATCCACCTCTTCAAGATTCGTAAATCACAGTCACATCTCCAGAGGTTTCCTTGCACATCCAGCCAAGCATTTAGGGTTCGGAACGACAGATATGCTGTTGTAGCAATAGTGCCCAGGGCATTAAAACTTAGGTCCAGCACCTTGAGATGAAAACATAGAAGACACCTATCAGACCATTACCTAACAGGCTATTTAATGTCCACTCTGTTCTCCTGAAATTTTTGTATAGGATTCTTATACAGGAACTGTACTCTATTCTTATATCAATTAAAGGTCTGGACACAGCTACAGAAAAAAACAAGATAATGGCCCTAAGTACATATTGAGGTTATGTAGTAAGGACAGTGGTACCTCAGAACTCGAATTTAAGCAGTTCAGAACTCCGGATCGAATCCTAAAAAGTTCGAGTTGTGATCGAATTTTCCCCATAAGAAATAATGGAAAACCAATTAATTGGTTCCCGGCCCCAAAAATTACACCTAAATATGTTTTTTTAGCATTTAAACACAAAATGAACCGGATAAAATAAGAAGAGCATATACTGTACTAAACACATCTAAGCACATTTATCAAAACAGAAATTTGCAAAGTAAGAAAATAAATGTATCCAAGCAATGTGTAAAGATAAAAAAACGATGTGTCCTGCCTCAATCGTCCACTCCTTCCGTGTGCCACGCCCCCTCGTTAACCCCGTGTGGAATGTTTCTGGTTGTTTTCATTAGCCCTCTGTATTTCGTCTGCGTTTCAGTTTGTTTCCCCAGCCCGGTCATTGTATTGTCTGTCTGCATTTTTCCTGCCTTACCTGTAATCAAACCCCCGTATTCCCTGATACCCTGACGTCTGCGCCTTTGTCTCCGTTCCGTCCCGCTGGGCACGACAATATTATTATAATTAAATGTATTAATGGTTTATTGCTAATATTAAATTAATTAATAAGAAATCTTTTAAATGTATTTTATTATATAATAATAATTACTGTTACTGTCTATCATTGTCTAAATGTATTTTTACTGTCTAAATACAGTGGTACCTCAGTTCTCGAACTCATTAGAACTCAAATTTCTTGAAACTCGAATCAACCAGTTCGGAAAAAATTACCTAGAACTCGATCTGAATCTCAGAAGTCAAACTGTGAACGTCAACCTAAGAACTTGTACGAAATGAGTCACGTGGTGTGTCTCTCAGCGGAAACAAAGGGTAACGCTTCAGTCTCAGCCTCGCATTCGCTGTGATAGCATCGTTTATGTTTACACAAGCTGAATACATATATTTAGACAGTAAAAATACATTTAGACAATGATAATAGTAATTATTATTATATCCTCCTGAGACCACACCCATTCATTTATGTTCATTGTAGTGGACATTTTATTTTTGCATCTATCTTTTCACTGATGTTAGGAAACGTATTTATTCCTGTTGTACACTAAAGAGGACAAGCTGTGAAATTAATAATAAAAATACATTTGAAAAAATCCAAATTGTAAGATGTCTTATTTCCTCCAAAGACAAATAACCTAAAATTGAAGAACACTTTTTTCCTTGGGTCTCAGGAGGATATAATAAAATACATTTTAAAATAAAGATTTCTTATGAATTATTTTAATATTAATAATAAACCATTAATACATTTAATTACAATAATATTGTCGTGCCGATCAGGGACAGAACGGAGACAAAGGCGCAGACGTCAGGCTATCGGGAATACGGGGTTTAATTACAGGTAAGGCAAGCAAAACGCAGACGGACAATACAATGACCAGACTGGGGAAACAAACTGAAACGCAGACGAAATACAGAGGACTCATGACAACAACCAGAAACAGCTGATCACACGTGGATTCCACACGGAGTTAACGAGGGGGCGTGGCACACGAAAGGAGCGGACGATCGAGGCAGGACACATTGTTTTTTTTAACTTTACACATTGTTTGGATACATTTATTTTCTTACTTTACAAATTACTGTATTGATAAATATCCTTACATGTTTAGTACAGTATATGCTCTTCTTGTTTTATCCGGTTCATTTGTGTTTAAATGCTAAAAAAAAAAACATATTTAAGTGTATTTTTTTGGGGCCGAGAACCAATTAGCTTGTTTTCCATTACTTCTTATGGGGAAAATTCGATCAGAACCCGAACTTTTTAGGATTCGATCCGGAGTTCTGAACGGATTAAGTTTGAGTTCTGAGGTACCACTGTATATGTATTCTGCTAGTGTTAACATGCACGGTGCTATCACAGCACATGCCAGGCTGAGACTGAAGCTTTACCTTTTGTTTCCGCTGAGAGACGTGCCGCATGACTCATTTCCCCACACTTACAAGTTATCTTAGATCTGCGTTCACGGTTTGACTTCTGAGATTCAGATCGAGTTCTAGCTATTTTTTTTTCGAACTGATTGGTTCGACTTTTAAGAAATTCGAGTTCTAATGAGTTCGAGAACTGAGGTACCACTATTATCTTGTGAACAAGGAAAGAGATGGAGTGTTGTTACAGATGACCTGGCCCTCACAATCACCTGATCTAAACCTATAGAGCTGCTTTGGGATGAGTTGGATCAAAGAGTAAAGTAGCCAGTTTGTGCCCAGAACTTGCAGAAACTCCTTCAGCACTGTTAGAGAAGCATTCCAGTTTGCTACGTACTTCTAGAAGCTGGTTGAAAGAATGTCAAGAGTCTGCAATGCTGCCATCAAAGCGAAAGGGGGTTATTTTGATGAGACTAAAATTTGAGAAAATTTTGAGATATTGAACATTTCTCTTGGTCGTTGAAATATCTGATATGTATAGCATCATTGCCTAGATGTATTTTAGTATAAGGTTACTAACGTAGCTTAAATATTGAGAAATGTATCAAAAACAGGTGTGTTCAGACTGTGGACTCTTAATGTACATGTACAGCCTGTATCAATATAGATGGATTTATTTAGTATCAATAGGTCATTGGTGGAGATGTTACCTGTAGCTTCACCATGTGCTGGAATGCAAGAGGATGAAGGCTGGAGATGTTATTGTGCTGCAGGTACAGTTCCCTCAACTGAGTGCAGCCATTTAGGCTGCCATGTTGGATGGTGTTGATCTTGTTGTAGGACAAGTTGAGCACCTCTAGAAACGTGCTTCCCACCAGACCTGGAACATTAAAATAATAATAAGAATAATAATAAACATCTTATTTTTGGCTTAAGGAACATCAGCACATGCCTGTACAGGTATCCGTGTGAGAACCTATACATATATCGCAAAAGATCATTGCACTGATTTTCAAAGACAACGGCAACAGAGTTAAAAGAAAAGAAAAGAGTTAATTGCTGGTGCCCCCTATTGTTAATCTTAGGAAACTACTGCTGTCAGAGTTTGCCACTGAAATTATGCCATAAATTAAAATGTATAATATAAATCTTATACACATACTGAGTTACATTTTACTCAATGTAAAGCATAAGAATCTGCACAGTTTAGCTATTTCCCCATCTATATGAGTACAAGGTCCAGAAATTTATTGTGGCTTGACACAACAAGTGGATCTTTCTGCACTGCTCACCTTTGTTCCTGATCACCTGCTTTTCCCATATAAATGCTGAACTGCAAATTGCAATGCAGGCAATTCTGAAACGCGCAGGTAAATATTTACCTCTCCACTGCCCTGCTGATGGAGGACCAGGATATAAACTAGAGGGAGATTTGTGTTCTACTCCAGTAAACTATCCTAAGAAAGTCTAAAGGACAGGTAAATAAACTGGAACTAGGACAGTGAGGTCCAGTGCTGTGGTTTATAACACTCTCTTATGATCTCACATGAGGGAAGGGAATGTTCTTAGATGGATTCTGATTGGTCGATGTACCATTGTCTAATGCACACAGCATCACAGAACAAAGTCATTGCATGTGTCTTCTGTTAATATCTTAAATATCACTAACCACCCTTATTCATATTCACTTATATATCAGCAAGCAAGACCAGTCATAAACTTGAGGAAATTCTTTTATTAAGTTAATTATTAATTACATCTATCTACTCTTCCCACTGGCAACAGAAAAACAGACCGGAGGTCACAATCACTGCATTTACCAGCTAAGTCAAGTCTAAGTAAAGAAGCAGTCAGCTAGAACAAAAACCAGCTTACGCAGGATTTTCCAGTAGTCACTGTTTGGCTGTAATTTAGGTGACCCTATGTGTCACCAGTCATATAAATGGCAAACAGATACTTTAAAATCTTGTAGGGCTGTGGCTGTTGAAATCTGGGATTGTCAGGACATGGAAACAAAGAACTCAGGAACAAAGGGACATCAGAAGAAACTACTCAGGAACGATCAGTGGTGTCTTATCAACCTGTACTTCCCATGACTTGTCTAATAAGTCCAGCACTACATACTAAAATCATGTTACCATATATGGACACACACACAGGTACTGTGTTGAGGTTTACAGCCTAGGAACATCATCTGAATCATACACCTGGAAAATCCAAGAATGCTGGTGCAACTGGACCCTATCAAGTTCACTCACCTTCTGGGATGGCTTGGAGTTGGTTCCCCTCAAGGGAAAGTAGCCATAAATTGGGCGCCCAGGACTCACATGGCAGAGGGTGCAGCAAGTGGTCCTGGGTAACGTCCAAGATTGGCGGCAGGCACAACGACAGGCCAACAAGCTGGTTATGCCCCAGCAGGAGGTGGGTTAGCTGGTACAATGGTCCATGTTCATGCCCAAGGTGGGGCACAGTGGTGAGGACATTGTGGGAAAGATCCAGGATAGCGGTGTTCTTCTGGAGGTCCAGGGGGGTGGAGGACAGGCCTGCAGAGGAGCAGTTCACGTGGGAACCATGCAAGCACGAACAGGCCAGGGGACATGTGTGTGGAGATGGAGAGGGGGAGAGCAGGACCCCCTGGAGGAAAAGCAGAACACCCAGACATTCCATTGGTTCCTCTGCCGGTCCTAAAGAAGCCCAACAATGCAATTTCACAAACTGGAAGGATACTGTGGGGAACTGAACAGCAATACAGGAAGGGCAGCCACACTTTTTTAGTGTAGAAAAGCGAGTGCCCCCAACTTACTAACATGCTGATTAGACTTAACCAGTAGTATAACATGCTGACATAGTAAGATACAGACTGAATTAGAAATACATACAATAACATAAAACTCTAAATTACAAATGACACTAATCCAGTAGGGTACAAACAAGAGCCGATACATACATACAGACATATAAAACTGAATGATGGTATGAACTGAGACATCCTGAGCATATTACATGTATTTTACAAGTTTACCTTACTGGAAGATGTACACCCAATACTAAATTCCTGTACACAACTGTACCATCCAGTAGTAAGTCCGAGCTCATCTGTGGATGTCTAGGTGTACTGAGATGTGGCTTGCTTGTGACTCTGAGGGGGTGGGGCTCAGCAGCCTCTAAGGCCACCCCCCCCAGACAAGAATGTGTTGGTTACTATCCAGCTCCCAACTCACACGGCAAGGTTAATACTTCACTAAGATATTAAAAAAAAAAAAAAAACAGTCCATACAAAGTGTATTTTATACATTTACATTTACAGCATTTGATAGACGCCCTTAGCCAGAGCGACTTGCGTAAGTGCTTAGAAGTTTCGTCAGCGAATACATTCTCATACTGGTTCAATAGAACCCAGCCTAAGAATCCTATCACTCCAAAGAATCCTATCACAAACTCTGTTGGCAAGTAATACAATTTTTTAATAATAAGAGTATAATCCTGGAAGTGCTAATCCAAGTACTTAAAAAAGAGGTAGGTTTTTAGTCATTGTTTGAAGACACCCAGTAACTCAGCTGTTCGGACATCCAGGGGAAGTTTATTCCACCACATAGGTGCCAAAACAGCAGAGTCTAGATGCATGTCTTCTTCGGCCTTGGTAGATGGTGGGACCAGTTGATCGGTGCTGGAGAATCATGAGCATGAAATTGGACCATAAATTTTAGACCATAGACTTGCTATAGATGCAGCCAAAAGTATTCCTCTTTTTAAAAAGGAATCACAATTTTCCATAAAATAATTCAAAAAAGTAAATTCACAAAAGAATTATACACCAGTCTGTGTTCGATATTCCATAGAGCAAACACTTTGCTTTTGATTTATGACTTAAAATATTATTGTAAATAATCGAACAAATGAAAATGGATGGCCAATTACTTTTGGATGCCAATTACTTTTGTCAGTTACAACTTATTTCACAATTTCTTTGCCCATGTCTGTATACATGACTGAGGTGTACATCTATCCACCATAGATTGTTTTGCTCTGAGAGATACCATGCATTCGCCATTCTTAATAAACACAGAATATAAACGTTATCATGCAAAATAAGTGACCATTTCTTTGAGACTAAATTTGTGCAGGTAAATTCATAAAAATAACACAGAGGTTCAAACAGAGCACCTTCATTTATTAAATAATGCGAACATTGAAACAAAACAGTTAGGTTGGCCTCCAGAACTGGCAGTGAAGTACCCTGGAGTACCTTCCAATCAGAGTCCAAAATGTTACCATTCAGCCCACCCAGTATCCAGAGCAAGCAACTGCCAGCTGAGAGATGAGGACCTTGCCTTATCAACTGCAGGACAAAACAGAAATGTAGCTGGCAGAGGGACACAGATGGCAGTGAGATAAATCATTTGCATACTCACAGCATACATACTTAATAATAACCAGTAAAGTACAAGTAGCCAGACTTTTAGTTCATTTCAACCACTGATTTTGTATTAGCTTCTAGTACATAAATACAGACCAGGGAGTTTCTATGTTGTCTATTCCAAACAAAATCTATGCATGATTCATCAATAAAAAATGTGTCTTTGTACATGCCATGTTTAAAAACATCACTTACAGGTGAATTTTAGCATAATTCTGCAAACTTGTGAAGGATGGAGCCTCTCAGTCAAAAAAACATAATGCTTTGAGCCATAAAAATACACACACAAAGCAAAAAAATGCCAGTGCAAACCAGGGAAACACATTAACTGGCACGAGATAAAGCCCTTACTGTCACTTACTTTTTAAGCTGATAATGACTATATCAAGGAACTCACTAGAAATGAGTTTAACAATTATGAAGCAGCCGATCCAGATTCAGGTGATAACGGCACATTATCAAGCTCTGATCACAACTGTAAACAACTGGATTAACTTATCTGGGGGCCCTAGGCTGACATCAATGTGGATTCTCAGGTATTGCAGATTTAACTCTTCCAGTTTTCCCCAAGATGTGGCCCTGATGTTTGCTGGGGCCCTAGGCTACAGTCTAGAATAGCCTGGTCATTAATCTGCTTCTGAATGCAGTTTGGCAGCAATGGTTTCCTATGTCTAGCAGGGCCTGAACCCATTTGACACAGTTTTGAATACTATAATAGTAACTACATTCCTGGTGTTTCAGGCATCAATCGGGTATTACATTGTCTCCATTAAGCTCCAGCATTCTTGTCCTTCCAATCACAGCTTCCTGTCACTCATAAAGCTGCCTGTTAATGCACAAGGACATCATGCCAATGAAAGTGGGCACAGATTAAGTAATGCAGCAGAATCCACCAACCAGGCTGGTGCATATGCAGGTTTTCATAATGACTCTCCACTCCCCCAGTAATTCCCCCATACTGGAACCAAACTGGGTAGTGGTTTTAATGAGAGTTGGATGGGCTGCATGAACAGCAGAGTTTGCCAGGAACAGAGAGAAATGGGGGATAAGAGAGAAAATGTGAACCAACCCTGGGTGCCTTCCACCACACCACAATACTGCCGCTGCGTTACACTGAAATTACAAACACGAGTTTTACAAACAAGGAGGTTATGGTCGATGCACATGCAATCTGTAAAAAGGTGTGACTGTAAAGTAGGGTTTTCTCAGTCTATTTCCTCAGGAGCCCACATTAAGTACTGTATATGTTATGATATTAAAAAGTATTTTTATTAATTGGACAGGACTATTTTTAGGACATAAAATATTTTGCTATTGTGCATAAAATATAATTGTAGTTGGGTTTCTACATCTGATATTATACGCTCTTGGGCATGAGTCTTATGATGAAAAAAGAATTGGATTAAATTTAATTGAATGGTTCTAATTAATAGCAATTGGATACCAGTTTTTTGAACACTGTTGTTTTTTGGTATATTATGTGAAGTGATGGCTTCTGTCAAAGTTAATGAACAGAAAGTGTTGTAGACAGGAAACTCCCAGGGTATGGACTCACATGGGCTTGGGGTGTCAAATCCTGGTCCTGCTGCATGTCTAGATCTTAATATCTTCCCTGAACTTATCCCCCCCCCAGTATTTTGGCTGTGTCACACTACATTCTTTACTAAAGACACAGAAAAACAGCTTCAGATATTCAAAATCAAAATAATCAGGCTAATTTATGAGCAGACTCATATAACAACCTGTGTATATGTGGCTGCCCTGATATCTGCCAGCCTTGGTTTACAGTGAACTAAAAAAATTGTAGCCCCTCCCCCCAGGACCAGGATTAAACACCCATGTCAATAACTAAGATAATGTAAGTGGCCCACACATAAAATATACATATAATATATGCTGTACTCAGCTGCTCCAGGCCAATAAGATTTGTCAGGCCACAGGTCAGACAGCTGCAGTACCCTTTCTCGCCACTCAGGGGTGCTGTTTTCTATCCAGTACAGTTGCTCCTCAGTGAGCTGCGGCACAAGGGTTGTCTGACGTCTGGCAGCCCATGTTCTGGTACTTGACCTGGACCCGGAAGAGGGTACCGTCCTCACACATACACAGCTTATAGCGTTCCAGGCCCTCATCAAATAGCAGCTGCCCCCCCGTCGATGAGTTAGGGATCCTGGACGGGCTCACCATCACTGAGCCGTTCAGGACTATGCTGTTCTCCTGGTGAGAGGACAAGACAGACAGATGCTTTTGAAAGTGAAGGTGGCTATATTATTGTGACCTGCCAATAATGATTGGTTTAACCTATTTTCCATTGGTTACTGCATGGTTTCCACTGAGATAAACCAGGCAGTGACTGATAATTTACAGTCTCAAAATGCCATTTAAGGTATTGTTTAATCAGTATTTTTCAGTCATTCTAGTTATGCTGATAGGGCCAGTCTGAATTCCACTACTGTTCTCGTCAAAGTTAAGATTTTAACAACTCTGAGCTATTAGTTAAGTTCTCCCCAAACGAGCTTGATGGGCCGAATGGCCTCCTCTCGTTTGTAAATTTCTTATGTTCTTATGTTCTTAAGTGTGAGGAATTTTATTATACACAATTATATTGGTCATAAATTAGCATGGCCAGTGTAAGAGGCTTCATCCAGGATTTTTATTTTACAAACTAAGGCTGTCCACAGCAATGACCCACTGTAAAAACAGAAATTTGCTGAATAGGATGCTGGGATTGTAGGAAGGGCAGAGGGAAGAAACCATAGCTGACACACTGTAAATATTTTGATGAGGGGAACAGGATTTGGTAGGGTGCTGGGGGGGGGGCTGTCTGGCAGGGAACTGGGAAGGAGCAAATACGTGGACCGGATTGGGAAACACTGGCATACTCACAGCTCTGAGCTCGATGTCTCCACCCATCCTGAACTCCACTGTCTTCCCCATGATGAAGACTCCTTCATTACCCCGGACAATGGCTTTGCCATCCCCTTTGATAGTCAGATCCGAGGAGGCGTTGCTAGTGATCTACAGGCAGATGGATGTTTGTAGATTGGTGGTGGTAGAGTGCTGCAGTGAATGAAGTTGGAGGCTAGTGACTGACGAGTACACACCCTCTCAGTGGAGGCCTTCCGTACGTTGAGGACTCGGACGCCTTTGGGCAGGTGGAACTCATGGTTCTCATAGTCGGTGCTGAAGAAGGTACTCTGGGTGCGTGGGTCAGTGAAGGACACACCCAGGTCACTGGTGATGGACGTCTTCTCCTTCTCCACACTCAACTTTGTTGAGCCTTGTTGGAATACCACCTAGATTTGAAAGACAGACATCCAAAACAACACTAACATAAGGAAACACTGGAATACACAATACAAAAACAAGGAGAGACGTAAAATAAAGAACTGAGAAAATATGTAGGGATTCATACAAAGAGACAAATAACAATAAACAGTCCCAACCAGACAGGTAGAAGATACCTATTACAGTCAAATGTGAGAGATGCGACCACACGCACAGACACACAGATGTATAGTCACACAGTCCCGAATTCATGAATACACACACTACTCAGGAAATAGTAACCTGCACATGCACGCAAAAATACACAGTACTACACCTAGTAAAAACACAAGTTTAATGTAATTTTTAGGTCACACTATGGACTAAAGGAGCAAAGGTTTCAGTAGAAGCCATAGCCTCACTGGGTTATTGTTGCCTGTGATGACCAGATCCTCATTCCTGCGGCCGCCCACAGTGCTCTTGTGCAGGGGGTGCACTACGCCCATATCTGCCTTCTGCTTGAAACGCAGCAGCCCACTCTGGTGGAACTCCATGCTGTCACAGCCATTGGGGCCGATGCGGATCACCGTCCAGATGACCAGTGTGATCTGAGGGCCAGCAGGACAATTTTGTGAGAATGTTGAGTCTATGTAGTCAAAATGTTAAGAGAATGCTACGGCAGAAAGTTGTATAAGAGTATTGAGTGATGTGAGAGTATGTTGAATGCTGTTATAGAATGCGGTGTAAGAATATTGAGTGTTTTGAGAGAATGCTGTATGACAATGTTGAATGCTGTTTTAGAATTATGCATAGGAGTATTTAGTGTTCTGAATGAATGTTGCATTGTACTGTGTTGTCAATGTTATGCATTTTTTACTGTATTTATATTTATATGTAGCACCAGAGGGGCCCCAGGGGGCACAGTATTTCAATGTACTATTTACCTTACATGGGTATGTTGACAAAGAATTCTTGAAGCTTGAAAGAATGTAGAATGCTGTAATTGAATTTTATGTAAAGATATTAAGTGTTTTAAAGAATGTTGTATTGGAATGCTGAATGTTGTGCGACAATGCTGATCATTATGTGAAAATGTTGGCCATTAGAACAGTAATTATGTAATTACAGTAACTGATTAAAATATTCAAAATGGATTTGTGCCAATGGTAATAATTCTATGGAAGAAAGAATAAGTACAGGTACCAGTGACAGGCAGTGCATAAGCATGTACAATGATGTACATGCAGTAGTAGGTATGGGTTGGCATGAATACATACATGCCTTGTGTGCTTATGCACTCACTATGAGGTTGATGAGCGCCAGCAGGAAAAGCAGCACGATGATACAGACGGCCATATTGCCTTTACGGCCACGCAGGCCCGTCTTGTGCAGACGTTCCTCCTCGATGGGCACATAGCCAGCCTTGAAATTGCTGTTGTGCTCCTTGTTGATGCTCCTCCTCTCTATGGCCTTCTCCCTCATAGATCGCTTGATGGGCCCATTGGAGCTCTCCTTCAGGGCGAAGAGTGAGGAGGTCATTCAAAGACACTTTCACGCTACTGCTACATCAGCGAAGTAATGTCACCCCGCCATTATCAGTCAGGCCAGTCATTATGCTGTCAGTCAGGTGTCATAACTGTGAAGCTGCAGGGCGTCAGTCAGGCCTCAGCATCAGTCTGAATAATAGTCACAAAGCCATGCGGGGCACATGACAGCATGGCCAACAGATACATGAATCTCAGGCTCAGATGAAGAAGACCACTGTTTTCCCCACCACTGGGTTGAATTCCATCCATCCATCTCAGATCCCGGTCAGGGTCATGGTGACCAACTCGAAATGCTTCACCAAATTTGCAGCTGGATTCAGCATCACAGTTTGAAATTGTTTTATATAAAGTTTACTGAAAACATACCTATTATCTTTCTTTATTCCCTCTATCAGCTGTGCTACAGCCTCATCAATAAAAGCCATTTAAGCCCTAAAAATACAGTAAATATCATAGCCTGGTAACAGCATAAATAACTGAGCTATAATTCTAACAGAAATCATTAATGTAGAAGGTACACAAATTCTGAAATAAAAAAGAAAAACCTTAGGCACCACGCCACCTGGTCCAAATGTCAATTTTTTCCAGTCACTAAGGGTGAAAGACAGGGGTATTCCCTAGATGGGACGTTAGTCCATTACAGGGCACATACATACACAAAATCACATACCCAGTCACACACTAGGGTCAATTTCTAGACGCCTATTAGACCAACACACCGTAAATATTTGAACTTTAAATATGAGCCACAATGATTTAGTATAAAATTATAATGGACAAGAGAGCTTTAAAAAGAACTGGCCCAGTCCATAAGTACACCAAAACCTGGAACTAAAATTAGAGGGACAGAGAAAGCCTGCAGCTTTTGAGGAGCAAAGTTGCGTAGATCACTGAAACGATACGCCTTGAAGGATAATTGTAGTTCTTTATACAATATGCCTAAAATTAACCGTCGTTTTTACGACCAAGTCAGACAACAATCGTGGATAGTATTGACAAGTTTGGTGATTCGCTGCTTATATTTCATAAATCGTTATTATTGCTCTACTCTGTTATTGTTGAGAATAACGGTATCATTTAATAATTGTTTCCGTGGGTTGGTCCAAACGTCGAGTGCCTAACCCGTGAACAGCTGCGATTTATAAACCCCTAAAAGATCGTATAACCTAAATCCTACCTACAATTACAGTTAGCTTGTATTATTTAAAACTGTATCATTAAATTACACGTCCACACACATAGAAAAGGCGAACATTAATTTATGAAAACAGACCTGTTCGGACGCCATGCTGTCCCTCCCTCTGACAGCTGAAGCCAGCTAGCGGAATAAACCATTCCAGTTGTATCAATACGTCGTACTCAATCGCCACTATTGGTTTATAATAACAGATTTGAACTGGTAATTACATTAATATATAATAATAACGACAACGGACAATAGAATGCGTTGTTGGGCTGAAATTACCAGCAGGACTTTTGTGAACTTTTTTTATATCACAAATGGTTCGTTCTAGGTAAGGTAATGGAAACGACTGTGGCGGGGAGTCCCAAAAGGGAAAAGCTAAATTAAGAGTGTGGATTGATATTTTTTCAGCGCAGATCTCATAGACCAAACGGGATCTTCGGAAATGTGCAGCAGCTGCACACAACCCGTGTCTTTTTCAATGGAGAAGCTTTAATAGGCACGCAAAAAAAACAAACGATACAAAAGCAAGAAAACCTCCCCAAACAGCAGATGTAGTGATTGCTCAGAAACTCTCCTTGCCGCTTTAAAACTTAATTAATGGACGGAATGAAAGAAACGTGGTTTAATATGAAAAGAATACATCAAACCGACAAAACTGTGTTATTCATGGATCATCCTGAATATGGGAAAACAAACACCGTTAAGATGCTACCTCCCTAAAGCATCTGACACCCTGCAACCCGTTAGGGTCGTCTCACAGTATGACATTTCAATTGCTTCCTTCACACCGCAGAGATGAAAGTTACAGACCAGACTAAAAAGCTCACTGACAGGCACACGACTTTCTAGTGCCTTAAGTCTGTATGTGCCAGCTCCCTGACATCTAGAATTCCTCGAGAGTACCCTGGGAAAACCGCGTCGCTACAACCAAAATACCGCTTGGCGTCAGCGCCTGAACTGCCAAGACAGGTATAAATAGCGAGCACGCCTCTGTCCCAAGCCCTGCTCGAGATTACGGACATGGCCGACACGCTGAGGCGCCTCGTGAACACCTCGTCCTTCAGCGTCCTGCAGGAAAAGCTGGAGTCCTGGTACAAGGACTACCACGTAAGTCATTCATTATTTGTAAGTCATATCACAATCAACATTGGCCTCTCAGTACTCCTATATTAAAGTTTGTTTTACATGCAAACTGAACAAAAATTCAAATGCATTTAAACTGAAGATGTTATTAACTGAGAAGATGACTGGATATGCGTGTAGTATGAACACCTCGATCCCAAACACTTTAGCAATTTTTATGGATTATTCTGCGTTGTAATTCGTTAGTTAACGTCTGGAATCAGAATACTGTAGCCATGTATGCATTATTATACTGCTTGACAGTGCAGTTTAGGCACCCGCAACTGCCACATGCAAAATTATATCAGTGCAGCTTACTGCAACAGAACTTTTATTTTTGAAACTGGGGCGAAATTACTTGTTGATTATATTAATTTTACGGCAAAGTTTGGTTACCATGGACGCTTGTTGTCATGACGACGGTGAAGCCATTAGTTGCTCTGGTAATGAAGTAGAGCGCTATGTTGTCGGACTTGCGGCAAATCGTAGAAATTTATAAACGACATACATATTTTGTCAATGCAGGAAAATGGAAATTTATGTTCTAATGTTATTCAAGTATTTAAGTGGCCATTTTGCTTATTTTTTGTTTTCGTTTGGGACATAGTAAAGTTTAATGTTCGTGTTGCGTTTACAACAAATAATATATTGCTAATATTATTACTAATCACTCATAGATTACCACAATAATTATAATTGAATATTCTATGCTGATTCTACTAAATAGGCAACAGGTCGGGATGGTTATGATTTGTTTCAGAGTCTCCGTGTGAAATGACTCCTGAGGTCATCTCAGACTTTCCATGTCAGCCGATTCTGTCCTTCCAGGTAATCTCATGTGACCAGAACCTGAACCGCTGCTGTGAGCTGGTGGAGCTCACTTCCAAGGTTCAAGGGCAGCTCTTCACTATCCTCAGCCTCACTGCTCAAGAAGGTGGATGTCTCTCTTTCTCTGGTGGTGCAGTACTTCCTATATTCTGCATTGCTTCACACTGTCAGAAAAAGAGTACCAGTTTCTACTTTTGCTTGTCACTGGGGCTACACCCTCAATGGTCTGCCAATTGTACCCTATAGCTGTAGGTAATTGTACCTTTTAATGTGGAGAAATTGACTATGAGGAACATTATTGTACCATTCGGGGTACATTAATTAGTTGTTTGTACCTTGAAGATGTTTCTCGGCATCCATTAACCATAACCCTAACCCCAACTCATAACCCTAACCCCAGTGTACCCCCAAATAAAGCGGCATTTAATTTTGTTATAGCTACAATATCTGCAGCATGCTAAGGCTGTTTGCTTTTGAACAGGATTAAGGCATCGTGTCATTTCCAGCACACCTGCTGAAACTTCCCAGCTTTCCATTTCAGGAGGGCAGTATGCCGGTGTGGACACGCTTAAATCCCGCTTGTTGCCATGGCTGGGCACCTGCTTCACCCTAGCAACCTCCACCATCTCCACGGATCCCAGCCTGAGCCTCATCCATGTAAGGCCTTCTGGCACCATTATGTTAGGCTGTCCAATCTCCTGCATGCTGCTGTGTGAGATTTGCAAGGACTGTACCATTTTAATGATATACATTTCACAATCTGACTTCTGATGTTAAATAATGGCAACCACTATTATGTCTGTATATAATATTGTTCTTTTCACTATATGATATTTTTAAGTATTTTGTTGGGAGGGGTAAGCGTGCCATAAAGGGGGAGAAATTTAGGATGATTCCAAGCACCCCTGATTGACAGTGGGCCTAAAAAAAGCTGAAACATAATTGAATTGATCTGGGTTGGGGGCCCAATATGATGCTTGAGAGATAGTGACTCGAGTTTGTGACTCGGACTTTCGTTTTGTATTTTGCTGGATTACCCTTATTGGATGGGTTGCTTTGGACTTACCTGCTGTCCCGGTGAGTTTCCCTGTTGTTTTGATTGTGATGTCATTCATCTTCCTGCCTGCCATATTGCATTTTTTTTTTTGTTCAATAAATCCCATGTTTGTGTTTTTATGACTGTGTCTGCGCTTGTGCTCCATTGCTAGTCCAGACAAGCAGTCATAAAGGAAATGATGTAAAACTCAATTTTCATCATGATGCAAAATGAGTCGCCAGGTTTCAAATCTTATCGAACATTTGCCACATCGATATCAAGAAGGATTCGGACTGGTGTGGTGCTGAGGTATCACTCACTGCACAGCTACACTCAGGTTCTCATCCCTGAGATGGTTTGTTGTGTGGCCAGTGTGGCAACGCACTGGTGGGTGTGGCAACGCACTGTAATCAGTGCGTGTGGCAACGCACTGGTGGGTGTGGTAACGCACTGTAATCAGTTTGTGCTCCTTACCTCACCTCTAGTGTGGAGTTTGAATTGTTCCCCAGTCCTCATGTAGGTTTCCTCTGGGTACTTTGATTGCCTTCAGGGGTCCAAAGACATGTCATTTGGGCTGAAGCCTTAGTGTTTCTGAATTGATCTGTGTGCATGTGCCTTGTGGTGGTATCCTGTCCAGAGTGTTCTCTGCCTTGTGGCTGGTGCTCACTGGATCCTGGCACAGGATCCAGGTTTGCTGTAACCCTTGATTGGATAAGCAGTTCTAGGAAAAAAATATGAAGTTGAATTTGGACACACAATTGGGGATGCATATTTGTATCTGTGTGAACTTTCAGGAGATTTAGTGTAGTAGAGTGTTATGTGTATATCTGCATAAAACCAATTATTATTGTGATTAGTGATGTTTGTGTGTGAGAGTATATAGTGTCTCATAATGATCACTGATGTCTATCACATGTATATATTGTGCCATGGCCCTGGTGTTTATGTCCTTTGTGCATCAAAGGTGTGTGTTTGGCAGGAGGCTGCGGAAAAGGGCAAAAAAATCCGGGAGCTGTCCCTCGCCCATGAGAGTGACCTTCAGAAGATGGAGACCCAGCTGTGCTCCACCCGCCTACAGCTGGATTCCGTCAGACAAGAGTCAGTGAGCCACACGTACAACCTCCCTCCTCAGCGTCATGGTGCTTGTGCGGTAGACATAGGGCCCAGATGTTGATTTTGCTAAAACACATTATTCAAAATAAACACCACTTCACAACATTTTACAAAGCACGTCAAATGTCTACTGTGGTTTTATTCCGTTGAGCAGTACTGTATTTTCAGTGGTATGCATATATAGTCTTGGCTTGTGTTCTCAGTCATATAGCTGTATTGATTCTAACTTTTGGTTTCAGTGGTAAAACTATATCTTTTGTGGATTTCTGCTGTGGTTTGACAGCTACTATGATACAGCTTAATGTTGTTTTGTTAAATATCTGTTTGCAGTCTCAAAAAAATCAGGTTAATTTTCAGCAGTGATTGCTTCAGACCAGGATTTGATTGTATTTCAGACTAATGGACACTCAACAAGAACTCGATGAAACCAAAAACAAATCTGCCACAACCCTTCTAGCTACAGAGGATGAAATTCTACAACTAAGAGCGGAGTGAGTGTCTCTAGCATCTGCTGATTGGCTTCCGCCGCGTGACTTTTTAACATCCTTCAAGCCGATTGACTGTTAACTGGCAGAACTTATTCACCATGATCTGACTTGAGGGTCCCACATGTACAATTATGCCTTTAATTTTTTAAGAGCTTGGCTGTCATAGAATCATTATCATATCATCATATAGTAGGTGTATTAGACTGTATAAAATGCTGAATTATGGATAACTCGGTCACAATGTTTTTGTGTGCACGTGTGTGTGTTTCTGTATGGATGTGTCCGTATATATTTCTGTGGCATATATGCATGTGTCCTTCAGGCTGCAAGTGGCCTGTGACCAGACAGAGCTGTACAAGCGAAAGCTGGACATGCTAGATGACTATGAGAGACAGATCCATTTGCTGAAGGAGGAGGTGTCCTTCCTGGTTGCAGAGAAGTCCCTCCTGCAGGAGAAGTGAGCTGTTGTCTTCACCATTATTATTTTTTTTTCAGCCAGAGTATCGTTTATGGGATTCAAAGGTTTCAAAAGCTTTGTCATTTGTAGAAGTACAGTGAAATACTTGCGTATCTCTCTGCAAACTTAAACAACATATGACAACGAAGGCCAATAAATAGCAAATAG